GTAGGTCTCGTCACCGACGTCAAAGGTCGATGTAAATGGTAATCTGTTTTATATAGATTTAGCCTATCCGTCGATGCCAAAAACACTCTCCAATAGTATTTCTTGAGTTAGGACCCTCAGGCCCAATTTGTTTTGAATATCTTATGTATGATTTTGTAGCCCGTGGCATTCTCTATCGAATGATATATAAAGTGGAGTGGTTAACGAGAAAATGGCTGAATAATGTAAACGATGAACGCTGTTGACCTATGGATTTGTGGAGGCCGGAGCTAGTATTTCTAGTGTTAGGACATCCCGACCCAATTTGTTCTCAATATTATATGTATCATTTTGTAGCCCGTGAAATTCTGTATCGAGTGGTATAAGGTAGTTGAGCTTTGCTTTGACTAAAAGAAAAGAAATGAGGAAAATACTCTAAATAGAGTTCATCTAAGGGGGAGAAAAGTTTGGATGCGAAATTTTTACCAGGAGGTGTGAAAATGGGTCGTTTAAGGTGCCTCTTATCGACCCTCGTCCTTTAATTTTCTACATATTCTACAACATTATGTTTTTTCTTCGAAGATAAAGGAACATATCCATATCGTCGAACATACCCAACAAAAGTAGTGAAATTCTGCCTTTTCTCAGCTATTTTGACCCATTGTGTGAAGCTCACACCGGTTCTCATTCCACTTCAAAATTGACGCAGATGGTTTTAAATGAAAGAGCATTGCAAATACTATATGTCCAAAGAAAAAACAATTTGGTCCATGTAGAGGTTTGCGATAAAAGACCTTGAAGATCTGAGTTTTCTAGAAAGTCTTTTAAAGCCAAACTTTATCCAAAAGCATTTCTAACGACATGATTGGATAGAGCGTTCAATTCTGAACAAAATGACATATTTCCGATGTTCTAGACCTACCATCGAAAATTGGTATTAAAAATACGAAAAGTGCCCCAAAATACTCGGTTAGAAACTGAAAACAGAAATTTCACACATGTACATTTTGTAAAGCCTCTCGTTCAGCTATTCCGAGTTGTAAAAATTTGCAAAACATCTCATTTTGTTCAGAATTGAACGCTCTATCCAATCATGTGGTTAGAAATGCTTTTGGATAAAGTTTGGCTTTAAAAGATTTTCTAGAAAACTCAGATCTTCAAGGTCTTTTATCGCAAACCCCTACATGGACCAAATTGTTTTTTCTTTGGACATATAGTATTTGCAATGCTCTTTCATTTAAAACCATCTGCGTCAATTTTGAAGTGGAATGAGAGCCGGTGTGAGCTTCACACGACGGGTCAAAATAGCTGAGAAAAGCAGAATTTCACTACTTTTGCTAGGAGGGTAAAACGTCAATAACTTTTTTCCATGATAGCTACAGACCTGTGGTTTGTACAGCTAGACTCAGCTAGACAAGCTCTACAAAATGAGGCTGATCTTACGGTTTGCGCTAAAACTTTCGACAGATCAAATGCTATTTAAAACTTGTTCATATCCGAAACTTCCATTCAATAAATTTGGATCCCACTTTTTTAACTTTTGAGTGTTTTAGTGATATTAAAGCTAACGCACTTATTCGTCAGTTCACATACCGTTACACCACAATCAAAAAAGTGTTTAACGTATGGCACGTTTAATCGATTAGCTTTTCATTAGCGTTGCAGATAACTAACTTAGTGACTAATATGAATATAGGTCTCCTTATAGTATAATATGTTTTCTTCACTTCTAAAAAAACCCTGATGTAAAATCAGTTTATAAAAATACAAAGTCTGTTAATAAGAGTGCAGTTCTTGACAGTGCTTAATTCTTGATTTTTTTTCTCTCTTATTCTTGTTCATTACTGTTGTTCTTTCATATTCATCGTGTTCATCATTATTGGTTTCTTATCCCTCCCCCTGTGAAACACTCAGCGGCATCTCTCAATGTTCTTTGACATTCAACAATACTGAAGATTTTGTCTGTTTTTATATTTAAACCAAGCTGTTCATGTATTTTCTCAACATTGAAATAGAAAGTTTTAAAAATATAGAAAGAAGAATGGACTCATCAGTCGATAAACAATATCCAGTAGGAGTATTTGTCATGCGAACATGAACGCTGGCTCAATAAATAAACCACTATTTTAGTTTTCACATTGAGTCAAATAAAGTCATCTTCATTGTCTGTACGAGACAAGAAGGCACTGTCTAAATGGTAAGATTGAATAAAAAGCAACGTTTTACAGTTCTATAATAATATTACATGAAGTTTTGTGTTCGCTACAAATACGCAAGATGTTCTTTTAAGTAAAATGTTGCTGAATGAACAAATTGATTTGTGAAAAAATTTCATCTTCATCTATTCCGAGTAAGATTGTGTCAAAACAGTACCAAAGAAATATATATGTTTGGCTACCAGCGATACTGCGTATGTTAAAGTTTACTCATGGAAATATTTGAACATCTGAAATAAGTGATTTGACAAGTAATTAAGCGAATTAAGAGATTTCTGTATCCTATATGTTCAACTATAAAGCCAATCTAATTTGTTTATTTTTTTTTTATTTACAATGTCTTGTAAATATGACATACATATAAATCAAAAAACAGATACAAAAAAGAAACAAAATGAGTGAAGTGAATTCTACACATATGGAGTAAATGAAGAAGTTAAGAAATGTTTGATAATTAGTATGTGGCATTCGAATCAAATTGTATCAAATCAAGCAGAAAAAATCTTTTGTATCAAATAAAATGAGAGAGAGAGAGAGAGAGAGAGAGAGGTTGTTTCCATTTTAATCTGATCAACATAAAAGACTTGTATGACTAAGAAGTGAAACAGATAATCTTATTGATCGCGTTCCTTCTGATCAGTGGAATTTACTTGATACTAAATGAAAATTTTTTTAAATGGAACAAATTATTTATCTTTTTCGAGTAAAAACAATTGTTAACATTTTAAAAACATGTTCAGTTAAGTCACGGCACGATTTTCGAATAAAAACTGATCACTCTTGTTCGTGTCAGCCAAATTGCGTAACGAAAGACCACATAATCACTATTCTTGTGTCGTCAATTATCTCAATAAATATAACGAGTTTTAACTTGATAATTTTGTTGGACAGTTATTTTGATAGATTATCAAGATTGTATTTGTTCCAGTAAAATTAACTACTTACTAACAATTGATCATTACTAATTTTCGCTTTTGATCCTCATCCTTCTCTCGCTACAGATCATTTTCACAGGTGAATAAATTATTATAAAGTTTAATAATACAGAATAATATTCTCGACGCTGTCCGTAATTATATGAAGCGATATAGAAAAAATATAATCGAGTTAAAAAAACGACAATATTTATCAGTTTCTTTGTTAAATTCCGTTCTATGATTTCCTTTTGTGATGACTGTTAAAACTAATTATACATCCGATCAAAAATAATTATGATCTTTTATTTCTTGTTGCAGTCGTAAACTTGCAGACAGAGAGTTTGGTTAACAAGACGGCACACAACACATCACGGTATACAATTCATTTTTTAAATGACCAATTTTTAGTTATTTTCACCGAAAATTAAAAAATTCATAACTTACTCAAAATGGATCAGAACTACTTCAGAGTCTCAAGATATGCTCTGTTTTACCTACACTACACCATGAAGTTCAGTGAATATTTTAAATTTTATTAATTAAGTTTTTATTAATTTTTGGAATTATCACAGCTAAAGCTGCATAAATTCTGGAAGCTCCAGGAAATCTGATACCACACATAAACCAAGAAAAATTAAGATATTGCTTCCTTTCCATTTTGAAGAGAACATTTTGGGCTATTTATCCATGAAAGAATCCAAAATATTTGTACGGAAACTTGTTTGCTGAAAACATCGTCAAAGTGCCTTTACGGAGGATTTTGAAAAATAAATTCTCATTGAACCACGTGTCCTGATCTTGGCTATCGAATAGCACAAGTCGGATACAGGGTATCTTCTATTGAATTAAATCTAGTAAATAGAAAAATGCGCTAACAAATTATTTTTATTATAAAGCGTATTATAAACGAATGACATATAATGTTCTTATAAGGGGCGCTAAAAATGAGAATAATATTTTTTATTTCATGGAACCTTTAGTGGTGTGGATGATGTGAATAACAGATGAGAGACAATACGCTACGTAGAGTGTAGACAACTTAGAACCGTAGGTGACAGAAAATAGGAACATCGTAGCTTGCAACGAGAATATTTGAAATAAATGTGGTCGATTTTCGATACTTATATATATATAAGTATAACTGTTGTATCCTCCACTATTAACATACGTTGACAGTATTTGAGCACTAAACATCATTTCGTGAGCCAACAGGCCTGAGCATGTTGGCTTGTCATTGAATTACAACATCTTATTGATGATAAAACTCGAAAGCCGATGATTAATGAAATTTTCTAACAACAGCACTCCAATGCTATTCTCCCCTCAACATGTTTTGCATATCAGTCAAACAAGATAATATATTGTATTTAATCTCGAAGAATTATGTATTATATTATCCCAACTAATACACTCTTTATGTATACAATCTTTTGTTTTGTATCTTTTTGAAACAAAGGATGGGAGTCGATAAGAGGCAAAATCAGCCCCTTCTCAGATCAGTCTCATATTCACAGGTCTGATGTAGTTTTTCTCCGTGATTAAAACTAGCACCTTAAAAAATCATTTTCACCCTCCTTGGTAAAAGTTTCACATCCAAACTTCTCTCCCCTTAGATGAACTCTATTTGATTAGATTTAGACAATAATAAAGAAGAACAAGGATTTTTAGAGAACGGAATTAGCGCTAAAAAGAGAACCGTTGCCTATTTATGGTCAAATTTGCAGTGATTAGAAAACGGTCAGAATTATAAAGCGAAAAGAGAACGGAATTAGTGCTGAAAAGAGAATTAATAATAATTGGTTATCACTAAGTCATACTTATCAAATATCAAGCTGTTATCGATCAACTGTTCAAATGGATTAACGAACTTATATTAGAGAATTTAAGCATGTCAACACATAGTGCACTGTATCGGTTTTTGAATAACCTGACAACAAAAGGTGGTGAAACAGGTGAGTTTTCACCGTTTGAAAATTTTTTTGGGGGTTGTCGATCTATTAAATAAAGTTTTCAAAATCCGGGTCTATCATGGTGTACCTTACTCGACAAAATCCTGATGATCGCGGTTTTCAAAAAAACATTTCATTCTAAAGACATGTTTAAATGAAATGATATATATTATTTAAGTTACAGTAAGTCTAGTGACTTCAAGATCTGGAAACCAGAGTGCTGCTTGCTCGATCAACTTTCATAAAATATGATTCCAAAAGATTTTTTCTCTTTAGCAACTATTATTCTTTGCATATACCTGCGTTTTGTTTCTCTTTTGTAACAGATTTTTGTAATAAACAAATGTTTCTTGCTACAAAATTGGTAAGAAGTCAAACCGACAGCAATATTTTTCGATCGTGTCCTGAGTGATTCAAACACGAGCCTAACCACGCAGGATTCTACTCGAAGCCTCAAAAGCAACTGAATCGGAACATTGATTGTTGACAATGCTGATTCTCGGCAATGTTTGTTTTCATAAAGAATTAAGAAAAATCCACTGAAAATCTATTTTTAGATAGTTTATAATAATTGTGACAACGTGTATGTAGACGAGAAAAATTGATCGAGCCATTCTCTGGGAAGCGGCACTTCAAGAGAATAAATCAACAGTTTCTAAGTTCTCAACGCCTCGGCGCGATATATTTCATATCGCCGTGGATTCGAAAGCTTAAAGAAGCGCCATTTTTCGTGGACTGTAAAAACTGCCTGTCAACTCTTCGATTCAACTCATTGAAAGTTTGATTGAGAAATTTTTATTAATTGCTAAATTCTCATACCAACTTCTGTAGCGATTCGGGAATTCTTAATGACAAATAACTGTTGTATTTTTCGATGAAAACTGTTAGCGATTTTGCCAATTCACTCATTCATTTATTAGATTAGCCATATTTACAATGAATCGATGTGCTAATAGAACATCTGAAAAATGTGCTATCTAGAAACAATATGTTTGCTATTATTATTTATACTTTACTATTCAATTGTCATCAATGCACATCAATTCACGTACAATCATATCCTGTCACTAATACTGATATAACGGGAAAACTGAACTATGAACAAAACAACAAAAATGATTTAGCTAAACGGGCAACGTTGTATTGTAAAGTTATAATCAACGTCTAAATTGTTAAGTATAGTAAATTCTTTCCTTTGTTTCTAGATGATCTCATAACTCAAGAAATCGAAGCATCTATTAAACAGTGTTTGGAAACAACAACATTTTCTAATATATCAACACATTCATCCACTAATGTTGCCGATTGTGTGGAATCGATTCTTAACTATTTAAAGAGCATATTATCATCGCTGATTTCTCAAAAAGTAGATGACTCAACTAGATCCATAACAGATAGTTTTTTGTCACCAACAAAACATCCCACAAGAATAGCGATTGAGAACAGCTCATTAAATGCTTTTGAACAAAATATCACAGATATTATTCAAAATTTGCTATCAGCAGACAAGAATAGTAATAATAATAATAATAATAGTCATGATGCTTTCAGTCCAACTATCAATAATAATGATGAAATAACAAATCTCAATAAAATATTTCGAGAAAGTAATCCACATAAAGAACATCGGGATACATCTGTGAGTTAATCATAAGAAAAATTACACTGATGATTACTGATTTCGTTTTTTTCCCCTAGATAACGCTTTCATTGCATAATTCTCTGTATCCAGAGACAGCACAAATGAAGATGATCGAAAATCATTTAATGGATTTAGTCAAATCTCTTCGAGATGAACTGAGAAAACTTCAATCACTTCAAACAAATGCTAATCTAAATATATATACAAATCAGTCGACTGAAACAGACACAACAAATAACATACATGACTTAAAATATGAAAATAGTATGCCACCAGTTTTATATAAAATTTCAATGATTGATTCTACAACAACAACAACAACAACAATTACTACTACTATTACTACAGTTGCTTCTATTCTAAAACAAGAATACTCAAAGCATATTAATCAACTGTACGGTATGTCAATCTACTTTTTAAAGTTCTAAAATGTTATGATAAAAACGATAAAAATATTCTTTTCCAGATGGTACATATTATCCACTATTTCTTCTGTTTTTACCAACATTAGTCACTGCTTTACGTGGAGTTAAATTTCAAAAAGAGTAAATTCAATTTCTTCTTTTTTTTACAAAACGAAACCTTGTCATTCATTATTCATCATATAGATGTAAAGCATTTGGCGAACCTAAACCCAATATCACCTGGATTCATTATAACAATACGGGCTATGGAGAAGAAGTATCGCACAATGAGACGTTGATCTTAAATGATGTTCAATATTCATCGGAAGGATTATACGTCTGTCGTGCAACCAACATTAGAGGCATGAGTGAACAGATTATGCGATTTTCAGTCACAAACGATGGTAAACGGTTGTACAAATTTGATTTTGTAATTTTCACAATGTCTATATCCTATTTCTAGAAATAATGATAGATAATGAACCGAGTACAAGAGCCGATAAAGATACTCTATGGTCTGCTCGGTTAACCAGTCCTGATACTAAACAAAATGATGCATCATTTTTTACTGCTATGAATTCAAAAATGACTGAAGTTTCAACGACGACTCGTAGCAATACACCTTATTATGACATGATAAACAGTCGGCGAATAATCAGTACTAATAATACAATAGCACAACTCGTAAAGTTTATTACTGAAGATCCATCAATATTATGTAAATCGATATCAAGACAACATTTGTTCAATACAAGTAGCAATTTTAATGATTTTTTGAAGAATAATGAACAGACAGTAAATCGGCAGCAATCATTTGAACTTTCTAGTCTAATTAATTATTTACAAAATATAACAAAATATTTTCAACAACGAGAGTGTAAAAATAATGAGAAAAGTATGTCTAGTGAACTCGTGACAATGTAAGTGAAGCTAACAAAGTCGATCGATTGTCATTCATAATTATTATTTTAGTGCTAGCACAACAATAAAACAAACTAAATCCACTACAATATCTCCATTCATAACAACAACAGAAGGACATTCGGTATCGTCAATAAATTTCGATAATATGTATAGTATTCGACAAAATCTCGTTCAATTAAAGACATTATTAGATAAATATACTGATGTATGGAAAACCTCGTCCGACAACTCTCGAATGATAACCGACACAACCATAACAACAACGTTAAATACTATTAGTCTTCCTATAAACAATATATTAAATTTATTGATTAAATCGCAAGAATCCACAGCAACTACAACTACTACTACAGAACAAACTGAAAATACTGTTATAGCGGCTAAACGTTTTATTGATACATTAATTAATCCGAAACAATATGATGCGTATAATAGAAATTTAGATGTAATTAATGATAATACTAATAACAACATATTTTCCGCTCAACAATTCATACGAAAATCAATTGATGATGACGACAAAATTGGTGATAAACGTGAACATTTTAAACGAAATTTGTATAATAATGATAAAAAACTTTTGTTAACAAGACTTTTAAATTTGAATCAACACAAAAATAGATGAACAATAGCGACATAAATAGCTAGTTGTTTCTTTTATTTATTTTATTGTTTTATATTTTACGGTAATCGTTTGATATCTTATATGAAACTTTATATATATCATGAATAGTGTTTTTATAATATGACAGAAAACACTTACAAAATTCAATGTTTAACTTCAAATTTCATATGTAAAATTTTCTTTTTTTTTTTCTTTATTATTTTCTTTCAACAACAAAATAGAAAAAAATATTGTCAGAAATATTTTTAAAAAATAACACTTCTATAATACACATGCATTAAATAAACTAAAAAATTCTAGACATACTAATCAATATTTAAAATAAAGCGTAATCTTAGCATATCCAATAGCTAACTACTAGTGAATAAACCAAATATGTGGGTCTTTTTTCGTTCAACTAATTTCAACAAACCTTTTGCTGGATCACTAACAACACTTATTATAAAAATAATTAGCGTAATATCCGTTGTCTCCCAACGTCTTTAAAATTTGTGTAACGATCTTAAAGTGATTGATTTTTCATCCGCTTGAATTTTAATAAAAAAACAATTCATATTCTTTGTTACTATTTGAATTAATCTTTGTATTTGTTATCCAATTTCATACATTTCAAAGACATAACGAATATTATTATGAAACATGTATACATGTTTAGCATCTTGATTAGATGATAATGATGATTTTTCACTATCATCACCATCACCACTACATGATTGATTTTATAGACTCGATTTAGATATTTGTTGTACCACCGGCTACATCACTTTTCAAATTCTAGTGATGGACATTCTACCACGATAGACAACGTGTTTAACCTTGTACGGTAATATATGTGATGGTAACCGTACTGATATATGAATGATCTTTCGATCAATGGAAAAATCGAGTACTAAATAGAAAAAAAGATAAACAGACTCAATAAAAAAGGAAAAAAAGTTCTCATATCATCGCAGTTTTTGATGACAGTATCACATGTTTTAACAAAGTATTATTCAGTTTCCAAAAATTTTTATACAGTTAGATATAAGTCGGTGATGTATAGAAAACTATGAAACCATTTTATGTATTTATAAATGACATGATTATCATTTCCAATCGGAATTATGTTGATTAATGCTTTTTCGAGAAAGAGAGCTGTAGCTCACGGCAAACATTTATTTTATTGCTGCAACTGCTTTAGATCATATACCTTTCTCTTCTACTTTTTGTTTTGTTCATTTGCTTCATAAGCTTATATTTTAACATACACAAACAAGTATTATAAGAAAAAGAACAACAACTATGCAAATGAAACGAGAAAGAGACAGAGAAAAAAAAATATGTGTGTAAGAAACATAATGCCAGACTTAAAAATGCGAACCGATAGAAATAAAAAAGCGAGAAAATAAGATAGAATAACAGTAATAATTCATGTACGGATCACATGAAAAAGTATCGTAAAACATAAATCTGAATTCAAGTGATTGTATATTGAGTTAGTTAACAATATTCAATGTTTTTTTACAGAAAGAGTGAGAGAAAAGTGGGAAAATAATATCAGACTGGAACATTAAAATGAACGCGGTGAGAAATCAAAAATAAAATGATCACAACTAGGGCGTCAAAAAAACAAAAGAAGTGATGTCACGAATTTCTCAAATATGTCATGTGTAGAAAAAGAAATTGAACCATTCAGATAAAAGAATAAAAGAAAGATCGAACTGCTTGTAATACAAATTGTGTTCAGTACGCATGTGATGAAAAGAGAGAGTTCATTCATTTTTTTTCTCCTAGCTGTCAAATATTTAACAGTAGCAAGGGATAAATAGATGCCATTTATCGAAACACAAAAAGTAAATATAATGGAAGAATGTTGTTAAACTAAATAGGATTCAAAAGATACGCTGTATTTTTATCAGCTTTTCGATGTGAATAACTTTCTATTCGGAGAGAAGCTACGATGTGGTTACATTTACGATAAACAATTAATCACAAAAAGCTCTATTAAACAGAACAAAGTTATACTGCTAAGCTCAAGAAGCCCTTCCGGCTTTGATGTCAATTAGCTATCACATTCGTTTAAAAAAAAATATATACTCATACTGATAACAAAACGCACATGGAATAAACCGATGATTAGATCTATATTTACTGATTAAAATTTTTAACGAAGAAAAATACTTCTCGACCACATAACCATTTTGTTTGTGTCATTTCCGACGAGAGTCTAAACTAAGAATAAACAAATTTGTCATAAAAAAACAGATAATAGTCGCAAAAAGATTTTTTCCTGTCACTCCAAATACACATTGGAAAAAAAATACAGTTAGAGTGCAAAAAAAAATCAACAAAAAAATAAAAGACAACTTTTTCTCTGTACATTATACATTTACAAACATATTATTTCGGCAAAGCTTTCGCACATAAATCTTCATATGATACAGCTTCTCTCATCTGCAATGCTTTTGCTCGTAATTCTGCTAAATATTGCTGTTGATCTTCAATTAATTCAATTAAACATTTGGCATAATTATCCCTATCATAGTTCATATTTGTTGATAAATCTAACAAACCTTGATGATCGCTAACAATTTGTGGTAACATATCGATTAGAGCACTATGAGATTCTAGTGTTTGATCTTCAATGTCCTGACTTCGAGCAATAGCATCTTCAAATTTTCTTGTTGCTTCCGATTTCATTTGATGACCGGTTTGACGTTTCATTATTGATTGTTTTGGAGCTACTGTTGTTGGAGGTTGTTGTCTGGTTGTTGGTTGAGGTGCACTAATTGTTAAACCAGCAAAATCATCCATATCATCATCATCATCCATTTCATCCTCTTCATATAGTGGACCACCGCCTACACCTCCGTTATCAATGTCACCGCCGCCACCATTACTGCGTATTTTAATTTCATCTGCATTTAATTCTTTAACACGATCAGCATAACGTAGTGTATTTAATGTATGTTCGGCATCACTATTACCCGGAGAGACCATGGCAATCATGCACACTTTCGATTTTTCACCAATAAATGAATCGCGTAATACTTTTGTCAATGTTGAACCACGAAACGGAACGTGTTCAGCATTGCGTCCTAATGAACGAATACATTCTTTTAATGTTAATAATGATTTGTTGATTTGAGCACCTAAAACAAAACAGAGATGAAGTTATTAACAGCGCATTGTTTCATGATCAATTGAAAAGTTTACTCTCCTCACTCAATTATACAATGTTGCTACATATTGAAAAGCTTCCTTATTTTGCTCAATGTATGTTAAATTAACAGTTTCTCCTTTATCCAAGGTTTATCTTCCAACACTCAAACTCTGTTCGACTTTTGTTTACCTTCCATAAGTGTCACTTTATCAGTTGTTTGTGTATCTCGTCCACGTTCACTACCAGCTAAATCGATTAATGATATTTTTCCATATTCTTTTACTGAATTTTTCTTCTTTAACGTTATTTGAAAGACAGCATGTGAACGTGATGAATGTTCATTTGCTGATGTTGTTCCCGAAGTTCGAACACTCATTCCCCGTCGAATTAATTGCATGACATCTTCAACAGTTTCAACATGTTCTTCTTTTTTGCCTACAACTTGTACTTGTTGCTTATGATCTTCTAATACACGTAAACGTTTTTTATCATTAAATAAATCGAACACTTTTGTACAATAAATTTCAAAAAACGTACAGTAAACATCAAATTGTTGTTTATATTTTGTATTTAATATACGAAATATATCATTTGCTGTTAATGCATAAATGCCTTTCGAAAAATCAATATCACGTTGACTTAAATCTCCACCCATGGTATACGTTTTTCCTAGAATGAAATAAAACAAATGAGCAAGTCAACAATTTCATTCAAAAAAAAAAGATGGAAACGATGGACTATTTGACGACTATATTCTCTTCGTAGTTCAATTGGGCTTTACATGGCGGTTAAGATATTCTTCTCGTTATAATTCGCCAACAGGTAGAAGTCATCACATATTTCGCTCAAATACATAGATTCTGTTCGATTTTTGAGTAAAATGTTGAAACATCCTCTTTACAGCATATAGAAACATAACTTGAACTTACCACTGCCCGTTTGGCCGTAAGCAAATACCATTGGGTTATTGCCTTGAAATAATGTGTGTACAAGTGGTTGAGCTGTGAAATGATAAACCACTTCATTGTTACACGTTTCGTGAAAACCATAATCAAAACGAAATTTTTGATTGTCAATATATTTAGTTAAATCAACTTTAACTTTTGGTAAATGAACAATCACTAAATCTTTATTTGGTATTGTTAATACATCGATATCTTTTTTGGCTAATTCCTTTTTGGTTATTGGCCGTTTACGTACACAAACACATATTTTCAGATCTTTTTGTGGCTCATTCATTTGTAGTAACTTGGTATCTAATTGTTGACGATATTCTTGGACCATGGCTTGAAATTCCCATGCAGGAATTGATTGATCAATTTCAGCTAATTTTTGTCGACGTTCATCTTGTTTAGCACGACGTTCTTCACGTTTTTGTGCGATACGTTCAATTTCTTTAACAACTTTTGATTTCCCTTCTAGTTGTTGTTGCGCTAATATTTGCTGCTGTTGTAATTGTTGTTGTTGCTGTTTAACTGGTGTTGGAATAATAGCATTATTTACTCCTCGTTGGTTATTTCGTTCATTTTGTTCATCGTTATTTACTTGCATACCTGCATTCGATATACTAATTGGTCGATTAAGTTGTTGTTGTGGACGACTTCGCTGCTGTTGTTGATTTGTCGGAACTGATGGAGTCGGCGCAGCATTATCGTACTGATCTGACGGAGATGGCTGTTGTTGTTTTGTACGACGATTTGTATTTGAAACTGTTCCACCATTTGTATAATGATGATCTTGATCGTTCGCGTTATTATTATCGCTACTACCACCACCTCCATTCATTTGAGATGGCGTGCTTGAAAATAAATTTGGATTTAATTGTATAATCGCATCTAAATCAACCTCTTTTCCTTTTCCTTCATTACGTTCTTGCCATTCCACTGTAACACTTTTAGCTTCTTGATTGACGGATGTTATAACAGCCTGATGAATGCGGCCGTTTGAACGTTGGATATCAACCGTTTGTCCAGCGCGTAAACGATCTATTGGATTACTAGACATGATTATCTTATTTGTTAATTACTATTTAAAGCGATAAATTAAATATACGTTCAAAAATAAGAGATATTTAATTAGTACGTGATCATAATTGGGCAAGTTAAACGCCCTCCAATTGTTATTACGTACAATAATCAAATCTAAAATACGATTATGAAAAAAGAAACGTTCTTTGCACTTAAGAGTTTTTTTCTTAAAAAAAAATTCAACGAAAAAAAGTCACGAGCAAATTAGTTTCGTCCTTTTCAGTGAAAAATAAAGAAACTAAACTTCCACTTAAAACATCGAAAGACATCCAAGAGAACGAGTAATTTAGCCAATCGTTTTCTGCTACAATGATTTCGGGTGATTTATTGAGAAATATAAAAAAAAGAACATCGTTTTCTTTTCTAGAAGTCTTTTGGTAATTTTCAACATATATACGGATGGTAGAAGCTTCTACTGCCTACTACAAATAGCATACGTAAATCAAGAAAAGTGACGTTTTCTAATAGACGGGATCAACAGCAACGCATGATTTTTTACTTAAGATTAAAAACAATAAAAGACTGTTTTGTTTTTCAATTTAGATACTGCAAACAGTAGAGAATAACCATACGCAGAAAAAGAGGAAAGAAAGTTTTTTAATTTGTGTTGGACCTTTTCTACTCCGTCAAAATAGTCTTCGTCCCTAAGATCAGCTAGTTACTTTTATGATATGATATGAGGCCACTTTGCTTTTTTTAGAAAACAGTTGTTTCTATTCATTGGCCTCACATACCGTCAAATGAACAAGAGGTCAGAAGGAAATCAAAGAATTTAAAGCAAGAATACACTTTTGTTACACAGCTCATGTGTTTGTATTCGATGTAAAAAAAAAGGATATAGCTCGCAGCTATAATGTACCATTTTTGTTCTTTTTCTTTGTCGTAAATCTCCTCCATTTCACTGACCTGAAAGAGGAATCGCTTAGCAACACAAAAACAGAAAAACAAGAAAATGTGTTACATCGGCGAGCGAAAGAAAGAACGAACATTGAGAAGAAAAAAATAAATACTAAACGTATACATAAACATCTAAATTTACACGCAACTTCATCACAGAGTAGAAAGAAACAGAACGAAGAAAAAATGAACGCATTTGCAGTAGGTTTATTATAGAACATGATTGAATTACATTCAGAAAATAGACCACTTGTGAAGCTTTAAAAAAATTGATGAAAAACAGAAATAATGATATTTTTATTTTTGCTAAAAAAGAAAAAAGAAGGAAACATACTGTCATTATGTAGAACTGTAAATTACAGCTTGAGGAAATAAAGAGAATAATCGTATTATAAATACCAGTAACTAAAGAAGACGTAGAGGTTAATTGCTTTCATTGATCGTGCGTATAGAAATATTATTGAATAGGATACTTGTAAACACAGATAAAAAGCGATCAAGAATGGTGTTCTTTTAACTAACGATCTAACCTACCATAATATTGTACAATTTATATTGGTAACATTATTTACGTCTCAATGCACGTACTCACTGGGGTAGTATTAACTAGTAGTTGCCATTTCCTTGCACAAAATTCCCCGATAATGATATCCACAAGTCGAAAATTAGAAAATTTTTTACTATGACAAAACATTATATTGGCAAATTTTAAAGACAAATTAACCATGAGGCCTTTTATAGCTCAAAACTGGCGATATATCGTGATAACGTGTCGAATATCTTGAAATGTCTTGTTAATGAGGAACTATATCGGGATAAAACAGTTACTTGGTTTATCGATGTCTATTAATAAAACGCAATAGAAGAGACGCGATACATAAGTCACTTGGAGTTGTCTAAGTACGCATGTCAAGCCTTTTTGCAGGTCTTATTGGACCGCGATTTCACTCAATGAACAATCAAAAATTCATTTGAGATTTCGTTGTTTTCCTATTTACTTCCGTTCATTTGATTTTTGGGATCCGCAAATGAGAGGTACCGGACTTACTGAACGACAGGACTTTACTTTGTTTTTTCTTCTTTGCTTTAGCCGCTGAGACTTATCAGAATAGCTGAGAATGTAGGCTCATTCCTAGAGTACTGTTTCTGTTAAGTTTTGGCTCGAAGCAAGTCGACACTCCTGGTCATTAGGAAAACGTTTGGTAATACGGAAGTGGTAGGTTTTTATATCCGTCCGCACAATATAGAAATACTTTTTTCATCCCTTTATCTAACATTTTCCCTCTCGTTGTCCTTTGAAATATGCTTGCTTATAGTATGCACCAGTTATATAACTGGTATTAGAGCAACCAGAAAAAAATGCAGTTATTAAGAATCACTCTGACTTGCGAAACGTCTCATTTTGTAAAGAAATGTTTGCTCTATGTATTGCATCGAGCAAAAAAAAGGCTAAACGAGAGGTCTTTTAGCGAAATACTGAATAGACGTGAACAAATGAACAGTTGCCCATAACTGGTGACCGGTTATCATGTACAGTTATGGCATTTTAAAATACTACTATTTGTGTTACAATTATCTTTGAATTTGAACCAATTGACCAGACATTTCTTTGCAAAATGAGACGTTGTGCAAATCGGGATGATTTTAATAACCGCATTATAACAACTTTCTGGATACTCTAGAAAGCAGTCGGAAGTAACTGATGCAAATTCACCAGCTTAGTCGTATTGATTTTGCGCTTCTTAACTAATTATTTGTTTTGAAGACTGCTTTTTTATATTGCAATGTCAAGATGATCCGAAGTTTGTCTAGCTTTAGTCTAATGCTAACGCACCACCACTTAGTCTGCAGACAGGTACTCTTCGTATCATTCTAATATTTCAATGTCAAAAAAAGCAGATCTTCAAAAGAAATACTTAGCTAGGATGTGAAAGTATTTGGATCATGTTTACTTAGAAAAAGTCAATAAGTACTCGACATTTTAAAACTCGAATCACTTATGAGGCTTTATCAAGTACTGAGACAAGTACTTTACAAGTAACTCAAAGTATTTTATAAGTAAAACTACTTGTGGAAAAACACTATGGACTGGCTTCATTACTTGTATCAAGCACTTTTTCAAGTATTTCACTAGAGGAGGATGCTCTGCCGTGTTTTATTTCAATATGTAACAATCTTGCGAAAATTAGTATGATAATCGAGGATAACTGAGTCATCCCGAGCATTTCCGATAAAAGGATTGCAAACAATAGATCATAAACGAGATATGAGACTGAATATATCATGTTATTCTCTAGGATCACTAGAAAATTTCTATGGAAAAAGAACACTTAACTAGCTCAGGTATGGAGATACTGAAAGATGCGTATTATAGCCAAATAAACGATTATTGCGACATATTTGTAGATGTTATGTAGTTTGCTAATCTGCTACGATAAACATTGTATCTGCGATGATTACAGATAAAGACTTTCATCTCAATATCTGTCGATACATATATCAAGTTCAAATTTAACTTAATAAAGGTCAGAAAAAACCGTAACGGGTGAATAAAAGCCGCATTTATCTCGATACTTTTTTGTTGGATATAAAACGATATAAAAGGTATCGAGATGAAAACCGCTTTTATTCACCTGTTACGGTTTTTTCTAATCTTTATCGAGTTAAAGCTGAACTTGATAGATGTATCGACAGATATTGAGATGAAAATCTCCCTTACGATAAACAACTTTGTTATCAGGATGAGTCTTTTAATCTCAATAAATATGAGAAAAAACCGTTTAGCGTGAATAAATTTCGAAAAATCCCTCATGGATAATTGATTTGAGCATCAGTTGCAGATTCGTGTGTTTATCAAGTAGTAAAAGAAGACGGTGTGATAATAATCTTCGAAACAAAATGAGCTGGTACTTACACTTTAACATAGTCATGCATAAACTGAGTGAATAAATTTTCAATTTCATATTGACTTGGTTGTAGTGTAACTGTTAGAGCAATAAGAAGTCCGTTCGATTTTTAGGTTTTAATAATCCATACAATACTCGAAGGTTTTTGTAATAATGAGCTAAAAAAATACGAGATTATACCAGAATACTTCTGAAAGACAATTTCGACTTTCTCCTGTTTTTTCTACTATGAACTAATGATTCTCAAATTCTAATACTTGTGAATCATTTCCCTTAGCATATGGTTCAGTCATTTAGTATACCACGGACAATTTTCCAGACATCTTTTTCTCCTAATATGCATAATAATCGGTCATATTCGGTGATTGTAATGCGTTTGTATTGACCATTAATCCTTCTAGTTTCGTTATTAATCGACCAATTAGTTTATATATTTTTTTTTGTAATTCGATTTTATCTAGCCGATGCCTATTTGCAACGTATTCAAAACATTCTTGAAAAAAAATGAAAATTGTTTCTTTTTTTCACTTATGTACTCACAAACATACAGACATACATCGCAAAGAAAAATTTATTTTGCAATAAACTAATAGTCCGCCTGCATTCAACTCTGATTGACAAAACAACTTACATTGTTAGATATCATCTAAAAATAGTTGAATATGCGTAGAATTCTTCTTTTGATCGACTGTTGATTCTCATTTTCATATTGTCTAAAAGTAGAATGTTAAAGGTGAACCTATTAAATTTTAAGACCACTATGGTATCTCCAATTAACGTTTATAGATTTTTCATAACTCATGGATGTTCATGGTAATGTTGTGTAGTAATTATCATAGTACGTTTTAATCGATCTAAACACTTTCAATAATGATCGCAGATGATATTCTTCGAATGAGTTCATAAGATGATCGTAATTGTTCAACATAATTTTTAATTAAATAGAGATATGTTTCATTAAAACATAATATTAATTGCGATTATCTGAAATAGAACAATCCGGTTGAAAGTTATCAAACAAGTGAAAAATTCATTTTTACATATTTAAAATCTCAGTAATATATCAATTGTCGTTTCAGCTGATCTAAAAACATCTAGTTTTATGAGTAAAGAAAACCATCGTTCGGATGCTTAGTTATTTATCTTAAACATTCAAATGAGTCCGATATAAAATTTTTCATTTGCTCATAGATTTCTTATATTCATTGCACATAATTTGCTGATAGCATTTTTCATGAATCAATATGTTCTAGCTAACAAGCAGTCTGAAAAAAACGCTCTATCAATAATCATATTCGTGCCGTTTATATGAGCGTACGATAAACATACGTGGTCGACAAGTTCAAGTACTGTATAAACTCCTCCTAAAAGCTTATCGATTTTTCAGTAACAGCTATTAATTCTGGCTTATATAAACTACAAAATTCTTTGAGTTCCTGAAATGAGAGTAGAAAATGATGACTTTAAATAAAATAAAATATTTTTTCAACATATAATTTGATAATGGCAATGAAATCATTATTGATCAATATCACATGAGCAGGTGGTTTAAATACACGCTGGTAATCAAATTCCAATCTTGAATTACATCCAGATTATTCAATTTCTGTACATACTTCATAATAGGATTTCTCTAACATATTTTTGTTTTGGTAAGTAATTGCATTATTTCTTCTAATTAATCACTACAGTCGAAAACTATTATGGAGAACCTTTTTGCATGAACATCCAAAGATTTCTTCATCTGATATGTTGTCTTCTATCTAATTCATCAATAAGCAAATCGAAGAGGAGAATGGATGAAGTGAAATTATTTCATAAGATTACTTAAAAGAGCGTTCGAATGTTAAGGCTTCTTGTCATTCTTTTGCACTTGATGGTAAGTCCAGACAAACTTTTCTTACAAAAAAGATACACACATTCATGTAGTACTGATACCTATGAACCTTCAAATGCTGGGTCTACTAAATCGATGTTGCAAACTCTTTCATCTATCAGACACGTAGATTCTTCATTTTCAAATTTAGATATTCATAAATTATAAGAATAAACAATGAGTTAACGAAAGCAAAAAATAATATAAAGTTTCGGTTCTGAAAAGACTGAGTACATCGAAATTGACAAGTTAATATACAGTTTGGCTAATTTCAAATATACATATATATATATATATATACAGTTAATCAACCAGATTGTTATGTATAAGGCTTTAAGTAGTTAGTTATTCTGGCTTTCTAAAAGTATTCTAGTGTAAATAGCTTTTAGAAACGCCATCGATCTGACTAAGGCGCTTATCAACCTCAGACTGTGCCAAGAGTTTCGTTTGTGTTGTCTAGATATTATTAGCATCTCCAGCATTTAGTACGAATGGGTAAAATTCTTTTTTCCGGAGTTTTGTCAGAAAAGCCTAATGAGTCAGTGCTTGCTTGAGAAAGATAAGAAGTAACAACGTTCCATAAATACTTAGAAAGGAAAATAAATCTAGAGGTTGCATGCTTACGACAGTTGCTGGTTTTTGTAGAATATTACTATCCGTAGGCATTCTTATTTCCCACCATTCGAACTCTTCGTCGCTAAGGCCTAGCCTTATTTAGCTATGAATTAAAGTGCATTAGTGAATTGTATTATGGACATAATTTATAATTTCAGAGTAAAGTTGACTAAAAAGATAGTGCTAAAGTATTATTGATATTCCCGTTAATTTAAATTAATCTCTAAGTGAAAAAGACTTTAAATAATATTGATTCGCTAATTTTCGTTTCTAACGGATGAAGTTTTTCGAGTAGTATTAATGATTCATATTCATGTTACAAAATAAAAAAAAGTAAATTATTGAATGTTTATAGTTTTTGACGTTTGGAAAATGCTGCTGATAAAGTTGAATATTTCGCATTTACAATGCATTATTACTTTTTTTGCTTGTATTTCCACTACTCCGTTTCAAAATGATCGTCCTTCCAAATTGCGTAATAAGTACTAAGTATCTGTTCCACCGGATTGCTTTCGTTTCTAAAAAGCTTTGAATTAGATGAAGATGTCTATAGACCGCCTTTTTGGTTCAACATTTGTCCATGAACACGGACAGCAAAAACTTTTTAGCAGAAGAGTTTTCGCCTTGTTCCATCTAGAGGCATGTTTTATAAAAAAATCTCAGGACAAACTTAGGCAACGTTAGATAAATGTCTAATTTGAGCGTAGCTTGAACAAGAAAATGTTATAAAAAATTAAGAGAGCTCCAGAGATAAGTCTTAAAGCACCGGAATAATGACGCTTTATTTAACGTATTGGTTTTTGATTCAAACCACACTTAAATATGTGCCAAATTTTCGATCTTATCTTTTTGATACACACTCCTGAATCAGAGATGGGGCAGTCACTTTCTCGAGTCAAGTAAAGAGTCATCTACAACTTTTTACCGCTAAAAGGTTTCGAACTACTTTTAGTAGCATTCGATTCAGGTTTCCTTGGGCTGATTCGAGCTTTTCGAAAGTTTGAGTGATTTTTTCGAGTCAGTTGCTTTTCATGGACTAGGTCGGGTCTTTGAAGACGGTAAAATTTATTGCGATAGATCATTTTGCAGCCCAAGCAAATCTGAGTCGAACGCTACTAAAAGCAGCTCGACAGTTTTTAGTGGTAAAAAATTCTAGATGATTCTTTAAGTGACTCGCCCATCTCCGTCCTTAATTAATAATTTTCTTCGTTGAAATGCAAGGAAAAATTCACAAAAATCACAGTCAAATTTTACAAATCACAATTCAAAATTTACCAGAAAGAACCCGAATATCCAGATCATTTTGTTATATGCCTTGATTCAATGAAGAGTCGACAAGTTGATATGTCTAAACGTAATCTTATATATTGAAATAATTGGTGATATATTTTATATTGAGTAACACGTTGAGTATTTAGGTAACAGCAAATATCTCTTTAAAAGAATTAATGTTTGAAAAATCCACTGGTTATAGATGGGAATTCGTTTGTATTTTTATTTTTTGAAAAGTCTTTAAAAATGTTAGGACTGCTCTTGAATTTCTCCTGATGATGTAAGGAAATCCTAATTTTAGGATCTTATCTCTATCAATATTTTGTTTTAGATGATTTATTGAGTATTTTGTATAATATTAATGCTTTACAGTGTAACAATGCTGATCTCATCATTCCGTTTTCGAATATAATTGTAAAACGATAATGATCGATTGAAACAAAAATTTTTATTTTCTACTTTTTTACTTCATAAATAAACGAATCGTTATCTATCAATTTCTACTTTGATTTTAAATTGTAAAACTATTGAGTTTATTTTGTTTATTTGTCTTCTCAAATGTTAGTATCTTAAGTTCTATTTTATCTGTTCAACAAAATAACACAAAAAATTTGAGATCATCGATTTTGTTTTTTGTACGTCAATAGTCGCTTGAAAAATTATCAACTTGGCTTGCGTTACAGGTATAATTTTGATCCATTCATTTCATTCTCATGATCAATATTGAATTTACTTATTGCAGTTTCGCCTTGGCCCACGTCTCATCGATGTGATGGCAAATGGTTGGAATCTAACTAACTTCGAGCCAGCCTGGTTAAAAATTCAAAATAGTGAGGTAGGCTTTTTTTGATCTTATTGTTTTGTTACTTTAATAAGAATTGAATTTTTCCTTTTTTTTAATAGAAGAGTGGACCGAAGTTTAGTTTCGATCGAAATCGTTCGGTAAATAATTCACAAACATCAAATAGAAGTGATACATCAACATCGTCAAATTCATCATCGCCTGGAGCAGTGACAAATTCAGCCATCCATAATAACAATTCTAATGGCGGAGGTCGGCAAAGACATCATTCTTTTGAAGTTTTTGATCGTACGACAACAATAATACGTACGACACCGTTTTACAAGGGAGGAGGTATTCTTTTATACTCTTTCCAAGTTGTATTTGTGTCTGCGTAGTTATTCTTGTTGTTGTCCATATAATGTCTAGAGAGAAATATCTTTAGTTTAACTGATATCATTTCTCATTCAGATAAAAGAAACGAACGTTGTCGAAATAAATCCATCGAGCCAGTAAATGACCAAGATCTATATCCAGAATCGTCGAATGGCGGCGGATATTTCTCAAATCAACAGCCTCAACAAACAAGGTCATATAGCCGAGAAAGAATGGCAATCACAACCAGCCCGTATGTAAGAGTAAGTAGTTCAATTACCTAAATTATTTCTATTTCTTCTATTGGACACGAAAGAGATCCTAAGTAAGGGAATATACTCAAGATGTTGCAAAAAATTATTCTCTCGGGGGAAAAACCTCTTTCAACTGAAACAAATCTTAGTGTGAATTTATATTTGCAGAATCCTTCGTTCACTCATACTGACTCACAAGATTGTGTCGATAACAATAATTCTTCAGCATCCGGTTATTTTAACGGATTTCGTTCATCATGTGGTGGCAGTAGTCAACGTCGTCAACATTCTACATCATCCTATAGCAATAATGACGAACAACGTAGTTATCAGAAGTATAATAATTCAACGACAGCGACACTACAGACAAATAGAAATAGCAATGGAGGTCATTATTATCAAAGTCCTTATCACAATAATTCACCATCAACAAATCATTCTTCATATCATAATTATCATTACGGCACAAATCAACATAATGGAAATACAGCAACATTCGCAGGCAAAGGCGAAAACTCAGTGAACGATACCGGCAATAATAATAATACCAGCATCGAAATCAGCAACGAGAGTGCAAATGGAAACCAATCAAACGAAGGTGGTTTTGATCCACTTGAACAAGATTTTGTAAGTCTGCTGTTAGGGGGATCGACATTCTTTTCTGAATACTGTTTTTAATTTAACCAATCATTATCATCATTTTATCCGAGAAAATATATGCTTTAGCAAAAATATAATTCAACTTTGTAATTTTTGTCAAACTAACACTGGGATAATTGCAAAAGAGAAACGAAGAATGGTTAAAGATAGTAGCTTATATAGCAAGTATGTGAAATTAAAAAGCTAATATAGAGTTTATCAGACTGATTCAGTGATGACTACAGCCTTTTTTTTTTGGAACTCAACAGACTGGGTACTTTGTTTACGTCCTTGAACTGTTTGTCTGTACTCCTCATCTATATTTATACTCTTCCATTTTAGCCGTCGCTTGGCGGAAGAAAAACATTTGGTATAAAATCACACTTATCTACCGGTAGCAGTGACGGCAATGAAGCTGTCAATGGTACTGATCATTATAGCCCAAAATCGACATTTTCAACAAATGGTACAGATGGCAATTCGATTAATTCAACATCATTATCACCTTCAAGTAGTATTTGGGCAAATGCAGCTGAGAAACTACGTTCAAGCCATTTTGATCAAAATATTGCAATATCTCCTGTTCATCCTGTTAAAATTCTCGAACGATCATCATCGTCTTCATCAGCAACGAATACATTAACACGTCCCAGCAATCATTTTACACCCAGTCGTATTTTATCACGAAAAGATCGTTTATCAAGTGTATCCAACAATTCGTCATTAACATCAGCATCATTATCGAATTCAAACGCAAATTTATTATTGAATAACAGTTTAAACTCAAAACCAATTGTCCTAGAGTTACCGACAAATTGTATAACACAAACAAAAAATATGGATAAACGAAGTGAATTTTTTAATTCTTTAAAAAATCCTACAACCACCAGCAACAGTCAGCATCAGTCAGTATCGGCAATAAATGGTGGTGGTAGCGAAATAAAAACGGTGAGTTTTGTTTTATGCTATGACACAATTTTGCTGACGAAACTACAAGTTTCAAATAATCGAACTAAGTTTTTGAAAACGTAAGAAGCGATTTGAATAAAATAGCACAAAGCTACTTTATATCTCCAATCAAATTTCAGATTCTTCTCTTTGCTATTAAAGAACGACTGTGTGCCATCGAAACGATCTTCATCGAATGACACTACTATCGATAATGATTGTATGGTGAAAGATTCCAACGTATCCTTATCACCTAATACTGATCTAACACAAACACCATCAATACCAATGCCTGAACCTCAAGAAGAAAAAGAGTACGTTTTAAATTAAAGAAGGATTTACATATTTTAAACTAATGTTCTTATTTAGACTATTAGCTCGAATGGGTTGGAAGGAAAATGATGATCAAATTTACACAATAACAGAAGCTGATAGAGAAGAGTTTGAAAATAAAATGAAACTGATAACGAAAGTATGTTAAACAAACCTGTCGTCTATAGAGAAAACAAGTTTTAAGAGAATTGTGCGAAGTTTTTAAATTACGAAATAATGAAGTGAACTTTAGTGAGTTCGTTGAACATTTATTATGTCAAGTTTTTATCAGAAAACAGTAGCGCTGGACTAGTTTATCAATACAAAAGCATTAGAGAGAGTCGGCTGACACAGATTTTGTCCAATTCGAATGACCGAATTCATTAGAAAAGTCACAGTTCTGCTATTCTCAGTCATTTGCGAGCAAAAAAAGTGCATCCAATTAAAGTTTCAGCCATCATCGCCTTGCATCCAACTAATTTAATTATTTCACTTGACTAAAAAGGTAGATAAGATTCATTCAGCCAGCGAGCCACCGGTATGAAAAACTGAACTGAAAGACATTCAAATCATATCTTCGTTGATATTTCTTAAAAAGTGGCAGGCCAAACTTTTATGATCACATACCAACGTGTCTTCGTAGTCTTCACTTTTTTTCCACTTTAAAATGTCTCTTGATAAAACCCAAAACATATTCATGAATTTATGATCTAAAAATTTTAATTTAACATTTTTCCTATCATACTCAGCTCAGAGAGAAGAAAGTTTCACGTAAAAGATTTATAAAATCTGAAGAAGCACTATTCATGTCAAAATATAATGGACTCCGGTGTTTTTCAAATAATTCATGAATAAAAAGTGATGAAGAGATGCAATTTTTACCATTTTGTAGAGAAATGTTCTTTGTATCTTTTGAAATATTGAGAGCTTTCAAAATTGGGTTTTCAGGTGCTCTGTCTGACGAATGAAAAAAGAAGTCACCAGATATCGAAGCCCAAATAAAATTTTAACTTTAATTACATAGTTCGATAGTCCGAAGTGTTCTCTGCTAGTCCAAGGTCGCTAGCTACCGTGGTTCTCGGACACTACAAATGTTGCTGGGACCTACCTATCTCAGTTTGATTAGCTCTGACAACGTTAAAATTAACTACAAACATAGGTTTTTGACTGTGTCGAGTCTTGTGAACGTGTTTGTTTCCAGATGAAAAATTCATAACTTATTAAAAACCTACAGTAGATGGTATAGCCCATCTGCAGCAAAAATGAAAAATTCATAACTCAGTCAAAATTGATCTAGACTACTCCAAAATTTAAACTCCTACTCCACTAGGTCTGAAGAAAATCGGATCCAAAATAAACTACAAAAATGAAGCGTCCATCTTGTTGAGAATTTCATATTCTATCGAAATAAACATAAACTGGAATGCTACATGACTTTTAAGTACTTAAAAAAAGCAAAATTTTGTGAACGCGTATTTCTGTTAGTATGTGATCATATAAACCTTTGATATGCCACTTTTTAAGAAATATCAACAAAAAATATAATTTAAAATAGAACAGAATATTGCAGAGAATAGCAAAAGTGTGACTTTTCTAATGAATTCAGTCATTCGAACTGGATAAAATCTGAATCAGTCGATTTTCTCTCTAATGCGCACCGGTCCTTCAAGAATTTTTTTGTTTTATAGTTATAGCGGCAATATCTTGAATTAAATATGATGTTTTTCTATTTTAGAGCCAAGAGAAGAAGTACTCATGTAAATGCTCAACTACGTTAATGAAACAACTAAGAGAACGTGGTCTACCTTCACTAAAACGAACAGATATCATTTATCTCGAAACAGCCTCTGAAGAATCCGATGATGAGATTTATCAGGATAATAACCAATAATGGTAAATAATAATAATAATAATACTAAATTGTCTTGTTGCTTACATATAAAGCTTTTTGTACCAAAAATTTGTTTTTTTATACTTCTGATACTCTGTATCCCTTATTCCAAATTAACATTTCTATTGTTGTTTCACCTTCCTTTAGTGAATATTTTTATTTTTAATTTATTTTCTTTTCGGCTTTTGATCCTAAGATACATATATGGCGAAAAGAGAAAAATTATTATTGTTTTCAACTATCATCCATTGTCTGTAACCTGCCTGTCTATCTCATTTTGTTATTCTGAATATCCTTAGTCTAGAGTGTTTGTTGTTTCTGTATATCTCATCGACCAATTCTCTGTCTTTCTCTTGAAACGCTTTTTCATTTGAACAATGAGACAATTCTGTTTCGTCTAATGATGATCTCATGATCGTTTGAACAACTATAAACGTAGTTATAAGCAGAAGAAAAAGAGGCATCTTATTTGTTTTTTTTTATAATAGATCACTTTTATTCAACTTTTTTTGTTAGTTTTTCTTGTTCTATATTGACGTCTTTGTTTGTGATTTCTCTTTCATTCTTGATTTTTGTTCAAAAAGAGAGAAAAAAAGCAAAGTAAAAACGTTTTTGAATTTTTGACATTGTTTATGTGTGCTGACGTTTTTCTCTCTTTTTCTTGTTATATTTTGTTTGTTTTGTGTGACTGGATATGCGTATCTCGCTTTATATATACGTATTCTATGAACATATATAATAATAGAATCCATTGTCATTTCGCTTGTTTCATTTAATTTTTGATTCATCGTATTTTTTCATTTTTTGTCGAAAAAATAAAAATAAAGTATAAAGTTAGGTATCGAAATATCGTATGATAAATTAAATATTAATTCAGAATATATACGATAATAGTGGATTACAAACTTACAGGAGCAAAAAATAGTAAGCCAAAAAACTGGTTTAAGAGTAGTGGCATGTTAAACTGGATGCCAACTGTGCTCTGCGAAGATTCGAAGCCGACTGAGTGAACGTGTGAGAAGCAAGTAAGACAGAAACGAAATTGTAAAGTCTCTACTGCACTTATGCTATTGACGGCAAACGTTCTCTATCTCTATCAGAGGCCGTCGCAGGATAGGGCTGCCCTGTTGCCTTACCCTGCAGGGCAGGGCAACAAAAGATTCCTTGATTTGCCCTGCGAGACTGATTTTTGAGATTTTCAAGCTTCTTTTTAAGTAAAATTTTGAGATCTGTCGTATGTGAAAATAAAAATGGCAGCCAACTTTTCTAAAATTGATAATTAATAAAAAAAGATTCTGTTACGCACGAGAAACAGATCCAGTATTTGTGATGAGTTTCTTGAAGATAAAGTCTTCTAGGTTAAGGAGAAAAACTTTCTTTTTGCATTGCAGGGCGTCCTGCCCAGCCAGACAGGGCAAAAAAAATTTTATGAGTAATTTTTTGACAGAGCAGAGCGGCAGGACAGGAGAGGGGCGAAAAAAATTGCCCTGCGATGGTCTCTGATCTCTATGTATAACATTCCCTCCTCTTTCCACTATAATCAATCACGTATTAATTATCTTGATCATGGAAAGTTTCTAAATCCGAACTTTTGAGTGACCCTGTTTAGGGCATACACCTGAGAAAACTAAAAAAAAAGGGCAACGCAAAAATAACCTTGAATGTGTCGTATTCAGTGTGATTTTTCTATTCTCTTTTTTGTCCCAGTTTTCTATGACTTGAAATTACCAAGATCGACGGGCAGAAAAACGCGCTCGAGGTGTGGAGAAAGAAAGAAAGAAGAACATGCAGACTCCGGAGAAACGCAGTAAGCCGACAGTTCACTACGTTCATTCAGTCGGCTTAATTACTCTTATGGAATCCATCATTCAAATCTCAATGTTTCTCCTTATTTTTCATATTCATATAACGCATATCACCATCGTATTTAAGAGACTCCATCAGTATATCAAGAATACCCGTCACACAGACTAGTTTAATTTTCCAGTGAAAGTAATTCTATTTTTGATTCCCAAATTAGCTGATTCCGAATGAACCACTTTTTATGGTTTCAGTGGTCAATCTATGTTTTGGAAAAAAAATTATTTTCAATTATTTAGACATTTTTCAAAAATTTCGAATAGTCATTTTTTGACCGGTATATACATTACGGAATTTTCTCACACGGGCACTCATGTAGATAAAACACGTGAAAAGGTGTCACGACATGCCCTAATTTTTGATCAATAGAATGACTCTCCATAAACCATTTCAATCAAAATTAATCACAAACATTTTCTTTCCTTATCATATATTCCTTGCGCTTTTTTATCCTTCAATTAAATACGATTTCATTATGTACGACAAATCCTGCGTTGCCTGAAGTACAAGAATGGAAGGAGTAATTTTTAAAAAAAACACTTTTTGAAAATATTCTGTATTGATATTCTGACATCTCTGTTCTTATATCATTGTATCTAGCTGTTTCTTATTCGAAACGTAGTGTTTGCACGCGCTTAACAGAGTTCTTGTAAACTTAATATCACGCTATAAAAAGTGACGTTGTTGAAATGTTCTTAAAACTAATGAAAGGATGAGAGGCTTTTAGCCAGTTTTTCATCGCCCAATACTTTTCTAATTTTAAATGAACGTATATCCCGACATTTATACAAAAACCTTTTAAGACGAGTATAAGCGAAAACACAATACGGTTTTCTTTTTCAATGCTTCATATCTGGTATAAATTTGGCTCAATCGGATCTTTGCTTCCACACCTTTGGTTCGTCTTAAGGATATTTATTGGATAAAAGTTAAGCGATACTTAAGTGACATTTGTTTATGTCACTTCAGTGTGAAAAAAGTTATAACGCTAGTTTTGAAGAAGAACTCAATTGTTTCTTTGTTATTAGATCGATCTACATAATTATTTTAATCGAACGTTCAGTTTCGAAACGTTTTTAAAAAGCAGTATTAACCTAATATACCTTGTTGAGTTAAGAATAATGATTAACACTCAAATAAGATGAGTAAAGAATCTTGTACATAGCTGTTTTATAGACTTGGAAAAATAGTCTTGGAAGAGATAAGCGCCAAATAGGATTAGGGACTTAAGTTAGTAGTATGGACGTTTTTAACTTAGGCTTAAGTATGAAAAAAGTGTAATGCAAGCATAGCTTAAAAATATTGTTACAACTGCTTTCATATTCATAACTTGAGACAAAGTTTTATTTATCTGAAACTATGAAATAAGAGATAAGCTGTTCTGTTTACGGCGAGAGCCGAACAGTATTGAGTAGACAGCTGTATGATGGATACCCTAGTGAATGTACTTGAGATCAAGTACTTAGCTACTTGCAAATTTTCTGAAGTACTTGGTTAAGCACTTGTCAAGCATTTTTAGATTTAATACGTGCCAAGTACTTGGAAGAACTTCGAACACTTGCATATATTTCGCAAGTACTTACCAAGCCTTGGTAAATGCTAGGTAAATACTTCATCAGGTATTTGGAAGGTAACTTACTTTCCAAATACCTGATGAAGTATTTACCTAGCACTTATAAATTATACAAATATAATACTTAATATAATTATATAAATTACTTGATAAGTACCTTTTTTACTTGCAAAAAGCTCCAGGTACTCTGGACATTACTTACCCAAGTACTTTTCTAGGTGCTTGGTCTCAAGTACATTCGCTAGGGTGCCGCCTGTATACTGACGAGAGACACTATTCAAGTGATAAATCGCTTTTTCAATAAAACCTAGTGAGTTATAGCTTATCCATGATGCTGATTCTGAATATGATCGTGAGAGCGGCACTTATGCCTCCAGAGACAAGGTTTTTGGAAAACCATTTTTCTACGGCAGAACTTTTTTCAATCAAAAACTTTTCTGATCTGTCCAGCTAGTAGAGCGTGTCGAGTAGGTTATAAAAAAATATTTTTTGTTTGACCGAACCAGTCTTAAAACGACCTACAAGGATTATTTCCATCTTGCGCGGTGGTGTTTTCCAGAAACCTAGTCTCTGGAGGCCTAAGGGCCGCTCTCATGATCAAATTCAGAATCACCCACTAGGTGTTATTGAAAAAGTGATTTATCACTTGAATAGTGTCCCTCGTAAGAGAAATTTCTTTCAGCTTTTTGTTTTGGTGGATTGAGTACTATCTAAGAACAACAGAACTAAAAGATGGCTGACCTCTGACTGAAGTCACAAACATGCAGTCTTAGTGATGACTGTCATTCATACCTTCATCTGCGTTGGTAGTCTATATATAAATTAAATTTTTAAAATCTATTCGTTTTTGATTGCTGATATCCCACAAATACTGTTAACATACCTCACGGGAATACGGATAGAGAATATATAAAGTATGAGGGCAACATATATATTTTGTATAGTATGGGTTCGTTTAGATATATTACTACTTAAATACGATATTTTCAGAATCTAAATACTCTCTATAATCATAACCGACTAATTATAGAAACATTTTCAGAAGCCTGCAAAATAAATATGAAGCACCAAAATCTAAGTACACTAATACGTATGTCGATCTTTAGATTCATGCTTCTTAAGGAGGAAATTTATCTCGCGCTCTGTGCAGTTTACGCTTTGTTGGCGCCAAGAATGGTGTAAAAAAGCACATGTTTTCATGCGATGCGTTAGAGAATTTAACTATTAGCCCTTTTGAAGATGAATTTATACTCATTTGCATACTACAGAGCCTATACAGTTAAAAAGATAAGTTTTCTCAGAAGTAGGGAATTTTCAGCCCTATATTCGGTTTCGCTTCGCGATAGATGTCGTTATCAGCAAAATAATTTATTCTATTGGACATTTACGTGATGAAATGGAGTCATTCACCAATGTACAGAAATAAAATTTACGTTTAGGTCTACACAACAATATTTCCCTACACTAGGCATTTACATATAATAAAGAATACGCGAGCATAAACCGATCATGAAAATAGATGATAATCGTGTTTCAACCAACCCGCGTACGAAATATGAATGCTGTATTATTCACATGGATCCGAGGGAGGGGCGTTGTATCAATAATTTTAAGTTTATGAACTTAAACACAGGCTTAAGTCAACATTATCTGTTTTTAGTAATACTAAAAACGAATATATATGGATTTACAAAAGGTGCATATCTAAATTGCTCGTTGCAATCAAAGTTTTAGGAGTTCTGTGAATAAACGGATTTTTTCAAGTAAATCAACAAGTATAGTTCTGAGTAGAAATGGACCGCTGGACTTTTGTTTTAATTATTAAGGCTTCTCTAACCATATTCTGATCAGCTCTTATTTTATTTCTTCTCTGCGTTTCAGACTCAGTAGATATCCTACTTTCCTTACTTTTTAAATTTTAGAGCTTTCGAGTGCTTTTAGCTTATTTTAATATTTTCGCCCATCATTTACAGCGCACGAAATCTTAGCTGGAGATTTTCAGCAGAGATGACAAAATTAATATGCGATCTCATTATATCAAAGTAACGGGAAGCAAAAGCGCTTTTTAGCAATTTTTCCCCGTATCACTCCTTTTTGACTTTTACTGCTACAAATCCTGTCTGTTGTTTTTTAGATTATATTAATAATGGGACAAAATCGATTTTAGGAATGTTGTTGTCAAAAAACCATCGTACATTAACCTCTGAATATTCACCGAATGATGTTATTGTTACAGAGAAAACGCTGACTTAGATAAACATCCAACAATAGCTGTACTGAATACTGTTGATATCAGAACACTCTATGTATGTCATAATGAACCGATCCCAAATGAAGCAATCGTATTTGTGACTTTCTATTTTGCTTATTCTTACCATTAAAATATCGTAGTTTTAAACTACAGAAAACACTTTGCACGGCATCTCTAGTATTAATATTTAATAAATGTTGATACAAATTATTTACTAGTATAGTTAAATTTTCACGAGGAATTGTATCAAGTACCTTAAAACGTAGCATAAGACTAGATACTGAACAAACTAAAAGAGATTATAATTTGATCTCTTTTTATAGGTTCCATATTAAACAATATTGCACATCGTAGCTTTCAGAAATGAGCACTTTTGTGTTCTGAAAAGGTTCTGTCATTAAAACTGCTGATGGGATACATTTAACGATAAAGGTTGTACTCTTCATTTTCTCAGACCGTTTAGATGGTTCGCCTTCTTTATTTTCACTCTGGATCCGTCTTTCTGATTTTCGCTCACATTCCTGTGTGTTTACATTTACTTTCAAGTCGATCCAGCTCGTTCTGAATTTTCCCATAGTGATCGAGGTTGCCAAGAATATTGTCAGCGAATGATAGTTCAGAAGTTTTATTTTGGCCTGTTTTTCTTTTTAGTGTGAAAGATATTGGCATCGAAGATCAAGGTCGAAGTCAAAATGTTGATTACCAGTAAAGAAAAAAGCATTATTTTTTGCTTTTATGTCTTTTGTTTATAGTTTACAGAAAATAATAAAGCGTTTATATTATTGATAAATTATAACAAAAGTGAAACACGGATTCTTACGACAAGTAAGTCAAAAATAAAAGATATCCAGTTTGTTGTTGTACCAGTAGCAGATCCAAGAACCTTTTAGAGGAGGTTGTTTTTAAAAAAAAATCGTCTATCAGGAGTATGAAAATAACTTTTTTTCTCAAAACAAATTTCTGTGTTTTTGCTCACCACTTTTTGGAGACCGGGAGGCGGAAATACTTCATAGAGGGGGAAGATAGTCTCATCATCTTGACTAATCTTTTCTTTTCCTCTTTCTGTTTTAGGACTTGGAAGTGTTAACAATACAAAATAGAAAGTACAAGAATAGAAAGTAGCGGAAATTGCTTAAACTCAATATCTGAGATGCATATGTAAAAGAAGCCAAAATGACTCGATCAAATTCGAACAGCGAATATATGCCATCGTCCAAAAATGCTCTATGATATAAAACGAAAACATAAAACATTAATTTTTTCCTTGTATATGTTTTATGAAACCAATTCATTTCATTTTCTTCTCCAGCAGAATTAGTTGACATGATTAAGTTTAAAAATGGGGACTGCTGCTTGATCTTCTGAAACAATCCATCTACATGGATGAAAAAGATGATGCTCAAATTTTGAGAAACAAGTGTTACATAATTTAGGATCTATTTATTATTAGTCACATTGAAACAAAACTTATGTAACTAGTCATCAAATGAATTTTTGACTGTTTAATCGAAATTATCCAGTCTATCAACTGTCAAGCTTTTGAATTTGTAAAACTTGACTTCTTATCACCTGACATTTTCTTATTTAATTGTAGATGTTTTAAATTTGGAATCGTCTAGGCGATTTTGCGTTAAACTGTTGTTATTCTTTCTTATTGGTTATAAAGTGCCAGTATCACCACTTTTGTTATGAATAGTTAATGTACATGTTTCCACTTAATTTTTTTTTGCTTCACTTCCTTTCACTAATTAATACATAATATGGGTTTTTTATTTTCCAAAATTTGGGCTTTGTTTGGTAAGTTAAATTGATATTAGAATGGTCACAAATTTATTCTCACTTTTAAGGTAATGAAGAACATAAAATTATTATCGTTGGTTTGGATAATGCAGGTATGTATACGCTAAAAACAAGTGATTTCAAAGTACATCATTCTCTTTAAGTTTAAAAAAAGATTCAGAACAATTTTTTGTTCACGATTAAATAATTGTGCTAAACAATAGAATTTAAGCATTTTTCCTCGTCTTCATGGTTATGCCAGTTAATCGCACAGCTGAAAGAGATTGATGTACGATATTCTTGATAAAACCTTGTGTAATAGACTGTGTGTTTATTATTTTACTTAAAGGAAAAACAACAATTTTATATCAGTTTTTAATGAATGAAGTTGTTCATACATCACCAACAATTGGCAGTAACGTTGAAGAAGTGATATTTAAAAATATTCACTTTCTCATGATGGATATTGGTGGACAAGAATCGCTACGATCATCTTGGTCAACATATTATTCTCATACTGAATATGTTATATTAGTTGTGGATTCAACCGATCGTGAAAGATTACCATTATCAAAACAAGAACTATTTCGAATGTTACAAAGTGAAGATTTACGGACAGCAAGTGTTCTTATATTTGCTAATAAACAAGATATTAGAGATGCAATGACATCGGCCGAAATATCAAAGCAATTATCTCTGACATCAATCAAAGATCACGCATGGCATATTCAAGCCTGCTGTGCTCTCACAGGAGAAGGACTATATCAGGGATTAGATTGGATTGCGAGTAGGCTAAAGAAATGAGAAAATTTTATTTTTATTGAGTGATTTTGTACACTCTGTGTAAGTGCACTTTTCATTGTTCGTTTATTTTTGCCAAATATTCGAATATATAAATCTGTTTAATAACCTTGACATTTTGCACTAACTATATATCAGCTGTGCTCACTCTTTAGTACAAATGATGGTTTATTATACTTATTTTCATCCAAATACCAGCCAGAACATTGTAGATAAATTATGAATGAATGTAATTGTAATGTACATGTAATACGAGAATGTAATCCTTCAGTCACAAATTCAATGCTGAGTAGTAGCGAAGTAAAAGAAAATAAGAAGTATATAACCATTGCAAAAAACATCTTTTATATGAATAATATCATTGCTGTTGGGCAACGTTTTGAAAATATGATGATTCATAACCAAACATGAAAATATGGTGATTAATTTGTGCATATTTTTCTTTTTCTTTTCTGTAATTCCTTCTGTAAGCATAGAAAAAGTATCGAGCATTACCCAATGTATTTAGATGCACCTTAATGTAGGCGAATGTTTTTCTCGATTCAACTAGATAACGTTGCCTATGTAACGACGTTTTCATTGAACTAAACTGGATGTATCTAGACAAGTCAATTCTTTTTACTATTTTACCTACATACTTTTGCTAAAGCATTCAGTAAGTGCACCTAAATTTTTCCGCTAAGCTTGAGATGTTAGTGATACTCAGTTTTTTATTGTCATTTGGTCTGTTGAATGCTGTGCCGAAAGTTTACAATTCTGTTATTATTATTTAAAAAATCTAATAAAAATGTTTTTCATAACAGCTCTCGTTTATTTTTACTACTCATCTGGATTTTTAACAGTTATCTTCCGACCTAATGGTGGTCTCTCTATCTTTTCTATCATAGATCTTTTTTGCTATTTTTTTGTTGTGAAAACTGTATTCACTAATTTTATTATTTCAATAATATCTCTCGCATTTTCTCAAATATTTCTTTTCTTATCTTCCTTGTTTTCGAAAAAGTGTAACAAAATTGTAAGTTAATTGTATGACACTTTCTTTCGTTCGCTCTATCGTTTCCAACTATCATACATGTTCATGATGTATTGAGTTAATTGCGTTATTTTTTGACTTTGCTCGTGCTTTTTTTTCCACTATTCAGAATGAATGTTATCTTAAGAGAAAGTGGGTATTTAAAAAAACTATTTTTTTATTTCATCTACTGTAAGATGGGGAGGCAGATATGAAATCGGACGAGATGTGACCTTGATCAACTCAGTTGCCATTTTCAGATATCAACAGAATAAAAATAGCTGTAACACTCGATCAACATAATCAAGTAACTAAAAAACTTTAACTTGACTTTGACATTCTACGGAATATTCATCAAGCTTTATTATTATAATACTTTTTCTGTTGACTTTCTGTAAGCTCACCTTTCTTCAATATGGTACTAAGTGAGGCGATGGTACTAGTGTAGATGTGTACAATGCTTCTGTTCAGTGGTCGAGTTGGTAAAGATTAATGACTGTTCTTGTTGAGTTTTTTGCAAGACGGAAAGCAGACTTTGGATTGTTATAGATTTCGATGGTCTTACGTCAACTTACACCTCTGAAGCGTATCAAAATCTAGAATTTAGTGAACATACATGGGTTTCTAAAGTCCATTGGGCTTTTTAAAATCTGTAATGCCACAAAAGTCCACATAACTCAATCTGAACCCATGTAGATCTATAAAAGTCACCTTTATGCGGAATCATGGAAGTACGGTAATATGACTTTCGCCAACTAGACGAGCGGTCGTGGAGTGTACTGGTGTGTGTGCCAATTGGCGAAAGTCCACTGGTGATATTGGCAAAAGTCCACTTTGCTTTCGCCAATTACGACTCGAGTTGTATTGTCTCTCAATGCAAGTCATGTCCAAGTTTCATTTAAAAAAATTGTAACTTGCATGAAGAGACCATGCAACTGAATTACTTTCAAAAATCCATGGGTAGTATTGACGAAAACAGTGAATCTTCGAAAATTGGCGAAAGTCATATTGGCGTACGTCCCGATTCCTCGTTATGCTCTGGACTTTAAAATACTTACGTAGAAAGCAGAAAGAAAAAGAAAATATTAACACACGAAGATAACTACACGTTGTCGTTCTGTATAACAGCTGCTATTATCAATTCCACTACATGCTGTTAAACAGCATCTTAACATCATAAACAGCTGATTGCAACAGCATGTAGTGGAATTCATACAAAAAACATTTAAATTGAGTGAAAGTAAGATTCTTTACGAGCGTGATGTTGTAAACTGATAGTATTGCTCACAGTTTTTTCACCGGTTTGCAGAAACAAAAAGAAAAATCATCATTCTCTTCATAGAAGCGATTTTTCTGTTCAATGTTTCTAGGCGGGAATTCGACCGATTAAAATAGGGTTCATTTCTCCGTTGTGTTAAGCTGTAGGTGATTTGAGATACTGAACATTGAATAGCACATACATCGACTGACTGCGACTGCCTTCATGCAAAAATATTTTATCGTTCTGATTTCAGACAGCACAATTTCAATTTTTTTCCAGTGTCTGGGTTTTCTACTATGCTATCTTTATGTATTATGATTTGACCTGAATGTTTTACGTTTAATATTTATTTATTTTTAGAATTGTTATTTCTATCTGTTGTCTTTGTTTTCGTCTTATGTGTTTGTGAAAGAAAATGGAGACATCTCCTCGGGCTTCGTCAGCACCGGCAGTGATCACCGTGGATGGTCACAACGCAGCTTATGGGGCATTCATTTGGCTTGGATTAGGAAGTCTATTATCGTTTAATTTTTTCATAACAGCTGACCCCTATTTTCAATATAAACTACGTGATCAAACATCACGAATGAATACATCAAATCATTTACAATTATTATATGAAAATACGGTGACGTTTTGTTTGTCTTTGCCGAATCTAATTACAGCCGTATTGGTTACATTTATATTTATTAGTAAAAACTATAAACGTCGTATTTATGTGTCATTAACTGGCACAATATTTTGTTTGTTGATTTGTTTTGTATTTATTTATATCAATGTTAATCGTTGGCGGCTTGGGTTTTTTATTTTAACAATGTTAGTGGTCGTTGTTCAAAGTTCATTAGGTGCCGTATTATTAAATTGTCTCTTTTCGTTAGCTGGCACTCTACCATCGAGATATATGAATGCGCTTATGTTAGGACAAAGTTTGGGTGGACTTTTTGTCAGTACATGTAGTATAATTTCAATATTATTTTCAAATAATGTTGAAATATCTGCATCCATCTATTTTATGTTAGCTATACTCGTTGTGATATCGAATATTTTAACCTATTATTCATTGGACAAATCGAAACTATTACAAATTTATCATACAAATATTCAACAGTTAAATAATGAATATGAACCGTTACTGTCAAGTTCTGCAGATTCGTCTGAATATGGATCAATAGCAACAAGACAACGTATCATTGTTGCATTTAAACATTGTAGAATTTATGCACTAAGTGTATTTTTAATATTTACATGTACTTTGTGTATCTATCCTGGTTATATGTCAAAGATACTACCGGCATGGCCAAGTGCCAAAACTGCCAATATCTGGACAGATCGACTGTATGCACAAGTCATGACATTTCTATTATTCAATGTGGGTAAGTATAGATATAAAAGAAAAAGACGAGAATTTATATTTTCATTTATTTTTGTACATTTTAGGTGATTCACTAGGACGAATTTTATCACTGAAAATCCAATATCCATCAATTATCAAAGAAAAAACATTATTATTTATAACAATTCTTCGTTTTCTATTTATACCCTTTATTGTCATGTGTCATTTTCCAAATTCTTCGTGGGTACCTTATGTATTTAAATATGATGTTATTTATTCATTATTAAGTCTATTGTTTGCATTATCTAATGGTTATTTTGCTTCACTTTCAATGATGTATGCTCCAAGACTTGTTCATACACAGTTGAGTGGAACTGTGGGAGCACTTATGAGCCTGGTAAGTAAAGTAGCTCTTACAAAATCGACGTTTGTTTTGATAGTTTTCATACTAAAAGATTCATTTAGACAACAGTTCGAACACCATCATTAATAAAAGAAAATAATTTATGCTATGTTATTCGCTTTTTTAGGCTATGACAAGTGGAATTTTTATGGGTTCTCTTTTATCGTATGGATTCATTGCTTTTGTTGGCGTAAACAAGCCCCATTTTTAAAAGAATTATCCAGTTTCTAACATTTAACTACATCTAGTGTAACTGAAGGAAGGTCAGGCAGAGAGGATAACGATATGTTTGCTGTCTTGTCTGTTTTATTTTGCACATTTATTTATTTGTTTTGTTTTCATGATTAAATTGCTCATCTTCATTAAATTTCGTGCTCACTCTTCGGAATTTCCTGAAAATGTTGTTTGAGTCGTACATTTTTGCAATAACAGGAGCACGTTTACTTTTATATAGTTATTATTGCATGTTGTTCAATAGATGTATATTTTTTCACTTATTTTTGTTCTATATTCATCTCATTTGTATCTGCTTTGTTCGAAAAACAATCAATTATCTATCTGTAAAATTTATTTTCTAAGTAAAAACATGTTGCTTGTTTTTGTATTTCCCATGTATTTACTATACAAATATAAATATAGAATTATAAGATACAATTAGCTTTTTAATCTTTAGTTTATAATTGTTTAACTTTTTTTCAAACAAGAATGACTGACACATCAATAATGTCCACTTACACTGATCTCTCGCGTTTAGATAAATAGCTGAAATATTACTCATCCAATTTAATCTAAACCCTTTTATATTGTGCGATACTCAATGCAGAGTCATCCAATAAGGAAAAATTCTCAAAAAATAAACTAGTCATGCATTATCTTGGATTAATTTATTGTTGTGCTAAATTCAACCTATTCTGCTATTTTGACCCAAACTTCGTTTAAACTGCACTCAGATATAAATGTTACAATACATTTTTGCTGCCGCAGCAAGAAAGGTAAGGCTGAGCAGGTAAGGCTGATTTGCATCCCACATGGGAAACGAGTTTTCTCGATGGAAAGGCCGTTTCTAGAACAATTTTTAACCGCTTAGCTTCCCGTTTCTTATAAGGTTTTTGACACCTGAAGTCCTACCCGAGTTTTCATGGAAGAATCGAGTTTTAGTGTCAGAGAGTACCACCGTACTCTCAATAATGTTTACAGGTTTTATTCAAGCTTGAACATGAAAATCTGTGTGGAATAGTTAAAAACCAGTCTGAAATGTGGAGAAATATTTGCTCTTTAAGAATCTGTTATTGGAAAATAACTTATTTTTCATCAAATGTTCAAAAAATTCAAGATAGCACCTCAAAAGAGAAACAGATGCATATTTTTTTTCTCATATTTTTCTCACTGTAAAGCAAGGAAATCTGAAACAAAACGACATTGATATCATGTATACATATTTTTATGCTTTATCGAATAATGACATCATCAAAAGAAAAAATGATCTGCTTTTGTAAAAAAATTGAAATTTATGTGATTTTAAGCAATTTTTTTAATAGTATTTAGTGATTTTCGTCATCAAAATAATATTTAGTGCCAAAATAAGTTTGCTGTTTGCAATCTACGTAAAAAATGGAGTCGAATGTTGTATATTACACGCGTTTTCTAATACTTTCGATTTTTCATCTAAGAATTCGTCTTTGATTCTCCTCAAGAAAATGGGAAAATAAAATCTCGTATTTTGAGGTTTTACTGGTTTACTCTAGTACAAAACGTGGAAATATAATTTTGCTGTAGGGACTTCACGTTAAAAATCTCGATTCTAAAACGTTTTATTTTGTCATTTTGTTGCTTAGTTTTATTCTTATTTTTTATTACGTTTCTGACTATTTTTCACTGTTCTTCCAATGAAAGATAAATGAGATTAGTCATTTTAATTATTTACTTTCTTGCCATCGATAAAATACTACTCAAACAACGCGTTTTACTTGTAAAACAGATTTACAAATAATAATAGCAATTTTTATAACCGTCTATTAGTCACTATATTTTACCGTTTTCTACTCAACTTTTAGCTTTTGTAGTTAAAATTTAGACTTTTTCTAGTTTTAGGATACAAAATGACCATTTCAAGATTTTTCCAAAATAAAAGTTGTTTCAGAAAAGTTCACCTTTTCTATTTTTTCGTTCGTCAAAACATGATCGGAAGCGAATCTGAAAAACAAAATTGTTTTCACATCTAGTGCCGTTTACAGTGAGAGTAGTAAAACTTTCAACTGTAGTTAGTCGATGGTTGATGCTTATTATGTATTATCATTTTATTTTTTAGATTCTATTGGTTTTCAGTAATAACAAAGACATAATGACACAGCAACTGCGTTCACAGGTCTGGTAAGATCAACTAGAGATACAAAAATACATCAAATAAATATTTTCTCGCATTGTTTGTTTCTCGTAGGTATTAAAAGTATACAAGCAGTTAATCAAAACAAGTCACATCGTTTTTAATAATGATCCACCGAGAATTGCTCGTACGTATTTTCTTTGCTTTAAAATAGAAAAAATTATTTAATGATGTAATTCAATATTTTCTAGGTGTCGTCGAAGGAATACGTGAAAATTTTACTCATTATAAAAATGAGACAGATGAAAAAGCGATAAAAGAAGTAAAAATACATTGTATTTATCAATTTACGTTTATATATGTATGTTTTTTTTGTTTTATTTGAAGATGATCAGAGCAGCAAAAGATATGGATAATTATTTGAAACGAAATGTGTTACAGTCATATGAAGTGGCTGACAATACATATAGTAAGTTTGAAAAATGTTTAAGTTTGTATAGTTAACAATTATCTTCGATTTGCTTATATTTGCAGGTGTCATTGTAAAACCTTTTATGTTACGCGATAATACGAGATCAATTCGACCATGTGAAGATGATGACGAGGATCACGAGCATGAAGAGAAAGAAAAATCACCTTGTGAATCAGTAACAAATTATGTTGTTCTTAAAGAAAAAACCTGAAATTGTATAACCTATTATATCGAATTGGAATGCGTGGTATTTTTTCTCAGATGAAAATCTGTGTGCTTTGTATTTAAAACATTTATTTATTAAAACAAGGATGAAAATAAACAATCATTTTGTCTGGAGTAAATGAAGACAGAAATATCAAATAGTTTATGTTTTTCTTAGAGACGATCTAAGAGCAAACTATTTGACGAGGAGAAAAAACGCACATGTCTCGATTACGTTAATGTTAGTGGTGTAGCCAATGGGTGGATTGGGGTGGGCGCCTCTCGCTAAATGGTTCTCCTTCCACATGCTACAAATTTTATAATTCAAACTACCTATACTATGTTTCTACCGCTTGGGAAAAATTTAGGACAACGCCTACCCACTAACAAAATCCTGGCTACCGCACTAGTTAATATGATTGTTGCTCACATTAAGTCTATTTGTTACAACGACTAATGACATTTTAACTATTTATCAAGTCTCTTATTTGAAGCGCTCTCTTAACAGAAATCAAACATATATAACAGGACAAATTAGAACCTTGACTTGTACTATAACACAATTTTAAATTGCACTAAGAAAGTGAAGTGTCTTTTTTTATCTCAGCTTTTGACAAAAAGCAAGAGTAAATAAGTTATTGAGACGAATAACGATAGGATTTACATAATGAACAAAATTTCTACGTTGAGTGGCATTTTGTGCTGAACGTGAGAGAGCAAGTTTTATGAAAAAAATCTATCTTAACTATTGTTAGAATGTAATAGAATTTTACTTTAGTAACTTTTGCTGTTTCTATAATGTAATATTGCATATATAACAACGGCTACGTATGTACGGCTGACTGGTTCTCGTCTACAAATCAATTTCTAATTTCTGTAAGCGGTCAACAGCAGTGAAAGTGCATCAATCAGGGCGAAGATTTTACCTGAAATGTTTGGAAAAACCTGAAAAACACCTTACTTTTTCGCAGAAAACCTGAAATATCTGAAATTTCCAAAAAGTTTTAGGCTAAAGACGATTTTCTTCGATTTCTACTGGAATCAAAACATTTCTATTAAAAATCTCATTATACGAAGCTTTCAAAGTTATCCATAAACCCAGGCTTTTAAACCTTAGAGCCTAAAATTAAGTGAGTTACCGATTTTATATGAAAAGCCCCATACAAAAAATCGAAAAGGTAGACTTTTGTCATATTCTAATTTTTTCTTGTTCTATTTCCTATTTTAAAAATCCGAGTTACACATGAATCGAACGAGCACAAAAAGCTGAACAAGATAGGCTAGTTTTAGTAGGATATCATATCCTTAAAGAACAGAATAGCAGAGTACCATGAACACTTTTACAAAAGAACTTCTAAATGTGTCGAATGAAACTGTTTTTTGGCCTCCTGAATCTTTTTGGAAAAAACCTTGAAAAATTTTACGCGTTTACCTGAAAAACCTGGCAGGTATTTCGAATTTTTCACTCTCATCCCTGACCAATATACATTATCGATCTTGGCGAAATAACATATTAAGCATTGTACTGTAGCCTACAGCATACGTACACACTCGTAAAAGTACGCTGGAAAATATTTCTATCATATACATGCACAAAAACTATGATGAATAGGATTCCATTCTACTTATACTGTTGATAAGCAGTTTGTATACTGTTCTGATTGGTTTGTTCAATATTGATGTTCGCTAATAATAGAAACATTTGTATTACGTAACTGTATAAGAATTCTCAAATTCTATCTACATGTATTCTCAGTACTTTTAATTTTTACTCAAACAGACTGCTTTTAAGCAATTATTCTTTTACAATACGGTTGGAAATATAGTTTACTATCAACAAATCACATATCTTTCTACAAGAACCGTTTGGCGGCACTATGTCGCCAAACCGCCAAAAAATTAATTAATAACATAAAACAGTAAAAACTTACAACTAGGAGAACGACAATTATAAAAAAAGAAATGACTACTTCCCTCCTACACACTATGTATTACATATCAAATGTATAAAATCGTCATCACTATTAATTGTCACACTTAGAGCTTCAAGTCTAAACATTCAGAATAAGTTATCTGTGGATAATACAAACAATTACGAAATGTATCACAAAATTTTTCCCAAATTTTATCATCGGTCATCGTACCTGGATAAAAAGAACAATATTTATGATACTAAAATGCTTAATACATTATCTTCTTACCTCGTACAGCATACGGATGACCAAAAAGATTTAAAAATTTCTTCATTTTATCCAAACTGGTTTCTCCAGTTTTTATAGGATCAAGACGTAAATAAGCCTAAAGTAGTAGAATTATGAAACAATTATAATATATATTTAATTAAGAACTTCGCCCTATTGAATGTCAAGAAACAACCAGAATTATGCTTTAAAATCCTTTTAATCAGGCGTCAAAAAACTTTAGCTAACGCATTATGGCAACTTGCACCGTGTTTAGCTAGAGAAGAGGACTTTGAAATTCTACGATAAGCCGATGTGAATGAAAATTCCTATCAAGAACTTGTTAAAACAATGCGTCGTATAAATTATATCTTTCTCACTTGTCCAAATCGAATTTCGTTCAAGTTACCAAATATCAACGTTAAAAATTCATTGAAATCTCCTTGTCCGCTTTCATTTGTTTCAATATGTTGCGATGCGTAAGAAAAATGCCGTGAATAACAAACAAACGAAATATTCTTTTATTGTCTTTTTTGAAAATAAACATTCCCCAGCATTGAGATGAATTTTAAATTCATGTAAGCCAGCTAATAAATCTTCTTTTTCACAAAACCAGCAATTATTATTGTTTTCAGTTGTTGTTTGCGGCGAACGTTTTCGATAGAATCTCGCAAGACTCGTGTAAACAACTAATGTTCGATTTTTTACTTGTGGATAAATGAGCTGATGGATATTATTTAAATAACGTTCATGTTCTAATTCTTCTGTTGATTTTGGATGTTTGATTGCATAGAGAACATCACGACGTTTCATATCTTGAACACCATCAAGTCTTGAAAAGAATGATGATCATATGTATATAGGAGTGAAGATAGAGATAAAAGTATAAGGCAAATGCGTACAACAATGTTTCTTTATCTAATTCATCAATTGATATTATATTAAATTTAATAATAGGTTTAGAACGAATATTTTTATTTGCAAGATTATAGAAAGATCGTGTCTAATTTGAGATTATTTATTATATCATCTATTCCTTAAACAAAATCAATTCTTGCACGAAACTAGGATCACACTGACTTCGTATTTTCCTTTATCTCAGTCTGTAACGATGTAATATTTTTTTATTCCGTCCATTCGTCGATAGAAGAAGAAAAACAGACAGACAGTGTGCGTATATTATCGTCCACTGTGTTTATTTCTTTGTTCTCTTTTAATATATGTAATAAATATACAATACAAGTCAATTATAGTCATTTCTTAACTTTTTAACGGTTTTCAACGAGTGTTTTTTGGGTTTTGTTGTAGTTAATGAAAATAGACTAACTGTTTGACTATTGTCATCCGTAAGTACACAGTAATTTTCGGGAGGGAAGAGCATTCGGAGAGGAAAATTAATTTTTTTGTCACAAAGTTGAACTATTTTCTTCTCGACAGTTTTAGAATCGAAAGAGAATATTCTTTCTCTGTCAATACATCAAATCTAAAGTCTTCTCCGATGTGTAGGTTCAGTTAAATATGTTGACTGTGCAGAAATCTCAGAATGAAAAGTCACAACAGTGAGAGAAATGCACAAGGTTGAATTATCACAAATTGTGGGTTACCTCGGTGTAGGATCGCTTTGCCGTTTGAGTCTATCAGAATGTAGCAACGATCATTTCGATTATGTTTGATGCACAGAGGATAGCGGCACGGCCAGATCACGTCAATCACAGGACGCTAGATTGGCTCTGGCAACGAGCTGATTCGAGTGTCAAGTATCTACACATGCACATTCACAGGAAGTTCAAGAGCGAATGTTTTCTTCACATACGGCAAACGTTACCTTATCGGCAAAACTCACAGATGGAACACAAAGACAGTCCCTCTCACTTCTATTCTGAGAAGGTAAAGATACATCTCAGGTGAAACTTCTCACCGACAAAAACAATATGACACTTTAGATGAGCAAATTAATAATAGTTCAACTTTGTGACATTGAAATGAAATGGAGCTTATAACTCAAAACAAAAAACATAAATTTTTGTTTTGTGTACTCTGATGGTGTTGTAGGAGAAAATCTCTAATTACTTCATGCTCTCGAAGAAAATACCGAGTAAAACATGATGAAATTTGGTGGAAAAGAGATTAAACGATCGAAAGAATGTAGTGACAATCAGATAAGTGGTAGGAAGGCTTTCTCAGCCTTCCTGCAACCTTGTTCTAATCATACCGGGATCTTGGTACGATCTTGTCCGGATCCCATTGCAATCTTTGCAGGATTTCAGCGCGATCCCATCAACAAATTTTCACATCAAGATAGTGGAATTTTCGTTACACGGGAATAATAGCAAGATTAGGTACGATCGCTGTATGGATCATCGCGTTAAGTTTCAAATTTCTTGTCAAAAGCGCGGCAAGATGAGACTATATTCTTGCCGCGAAATGAAGCGGGAATGCTACTAGGGCAGTCTGTCTATGATAACACAGTGCTCGGTCCACTACTAGGTTGGAACTAGCTAACTAGGTAAAACGATACATTTAGTCAGATCCAGCAAGTGAATAACCGTCCGGTTATGTAGTCGATGGAGATAGATTTTCCCTGTAGAGTGTCTTTGCCTGAGAGTTTTCTATGAATGGAGATACTCTAGCGTCCACATCAGAGTTTCCTGGCCGAACAAAAGCCAGTGCTCATGCTGAAAATCAGTGCAGTGGAAAGAATAGTTCAAAAAGGTATAACATCCTCGAACCCTATTGTGGTGTACGCTTTCGGAAGAGATTCTATGTTGAATTTTAATCTCTTCGTACTTGAATGCTCTTGTCCAAATAACTTTTCGAATATCTGCATCGCTTTTGTGTAGTACATATACGCCCGTTCGTACTCGCATTTGCTGTGATAGATAACACCAATATTATTCAATGTTTTCGCAATGTTCAGATTGGATTCTGGTAAATGCTTCCTTTTTATTAGTAAAGCATTTTTGTGATATTCGAGTGCGAGATCGATCGATTTGAGATAAAAATGTATGGTGCCAATTTCATGTAAACTACAACCAATCGCTAAATGATCAGGTGCTAAAGTGCGTTGATGAATTTTCAAAGATTCCATGAGATATCGAAGAGCTGTTGTGTAAATCTTTTGTTCAAAATATATGACTGCAGTTTCATGATAAGTGTAATCAACTGCAGGATGATCTGCAATTAACTGTTGTTGTCTGATATCAAGTGCTTTTAAATAGTACGCCAGAGCATCGGCGGAATGTCCTTTGTGATTACAGACGACGCCAATATTATGCAAAGATATAGCTATATCTGAATGATTTGAAGTTAATAATTCCTGTCTATAACTTAGTGAACGAATAAAGTTACTCAATGCTCGATCATACTCACCGTTCTCGAGATGAACAAGAGCAATACTGTTGATACATTCCGCTATTCGAGAATGGCCTTCCGGCAGCTGAACGGTGTATATATCCAATGTAGGCTAAAACTAGTTAATGCTTTTTCGAAATCATTTAATACATAGTGAACACGTCCAATATCGTGTAAACATTCCGCAATTAAATAAGGATCATCAATTTCTTTCTGCATTAATAAAGATTTGTTGTAATATTCAAATGCGAGATTATACTCACTTTGACAAAAATAAACAGCCCCAATACCGCATAACATTTTAGCAGTTCCTCTAGTTGAGCATCTTAGATCGATGACACGCTCATAATTCTTTTCTGCTTGATCATATTTGCCGTTAGCCTGGTAGCTACGAGCATAATTATAATAAATATCGTTTAATTCCTCTTCGCAGAAGTCTAACACACTTCGGTGTTGTGTTTACACTATAAATAAATTATGTTTAAACCAATAGAATACGTATGCGAGCTTTTATAATTCTCCACGCGCCTTTTCTCTCAGTGGAACGTTTCCATTGCTATTTCGTTATGATTGTTATCCAATTGCGCAAGTAGTCGTTTTAGTTTCCAAATCTCAAATTTTCTTTCAGCCGCATTTAATTCGCAGTTTTCTAATGCTTTCCTGAAACGTGAAAATGAAAAACGTGCTGAAGCGATGATATAAAATGCAGAATTTACTTTTGTTGTGTTCTTTTTTCATACTTCTCCTCCTGTTGGAAATTTCGTTGTCAATGCGTCATTTTTCCGTTTAACTCGGTGATTCAAACACGCCTTACGGCGATGTCCGTTACCTTCCATTATTCATCGTCAAGACCAGCGACATTATTTCTAAGAACTCTAAGTTACGTTAGAGTAATGTAACTTCATTATTTTTAAGTGTGAGCTACAAGGCTGTAATTGTTTGCACGATAAATGAATTATATTTAAACCAATAGAATACGTATGCGAGAGAAAAGGCGCGTGGAGAATTATAAAAGCTCGTATACGTATTCCATTGGTTTAAACATAATTTATTTATAGTGTAAACAATTACAGCCTTGTAGCTTACACTTAAAAATAATAAAACATACACAAAAAAAAACATATTCTATTCATCAGAAGCAGTTCCTATAGCAGTCGAAATACGTATTTTACCCGTGACAAGTTACATACAATTCTGGAACTGAGCAAAAAGACACAGAGTCACATTATTCTAACATAACTTAGAGTTCTTAGAAATAATATCGCTGTTCTTGACAACGAGTAATGGAAGGCAACGGACATCGCCGTAACACCTCCCAGGGCAAAAGCTGCGTTTTCTTTGCTTTTCTCATCTTGTTCAACTTGCCAACAGCCAGAGCAGAGATCGAGAGTACTGAAATATTAGCAACTTTAAGTGCATTCAGTTCACAGCCAGAAGGGCATTTCCTGCATCTTACGAGGGAGCCTTTCGAGGTGATTAAAAGCTTTTTGATCGACATCTAGTGGGTTATAGGTTATGCTGATTGCGAATATGATCATGGGACTGGCCCATAGCTCGTCGAAGATCCAGTCTTCTGGAAAACTAGTTTTTCAGAAATCCCAAAAAATAACCAAAGCCTTTCTTAATAATGCAGGATTGTAGCGCCCAAATATCTGATTAAAATGATACATCCCCCAGCTCTACATGACCTTTCTTTCCAAAGTTTAGAATTCATAAGAAGAGCCTTAAATTGTTCATTGCAAAGGAAGGTCGTGTAGAGCTGGGGGATGTATCATTTTAATCAGAAATTTGCGCGCTACAATCCTGCATTATTAAAAAAGGCTTGGGTTATTTTTTAGGATTTCTGAAAAACTGGTTTTCCAGAAGACTGGATCTTCGAAGAACTATAGGCCAGTCCCATGATCATATTCGGAATCAGCATGGTCGATAACCTATAACCCAATAAATGTCGATCAAAAAGCTTCTAATCACCTCGAAAGGTTCCCTCGTTAGTCTCGCCGGTTCTACTCCAAATGTTCAACAGGAACAGGCCGGTATAAACGTTCAGCAATGTGAACTTTGCACATTGTTCGTACTGCTTATCTCATTTTGAGTAACATTGACTTTTTTCAACTGTAAAAATAAATTATTGTTTTATTATTTATTTCAAATGCAGACAAAGATAAAACATAGAGAAAGGTAAGGACAGTATGCAAACGGAGAAATGAAAAACGTGCTGAAGCGATGATATAAAATGCAGAATTTACTTTTGTTGTGTCCTTTTTTCATACTTCTCCTTCTGTTGGAAATTTCGTTGTCAATGCGTCATTTTTCCGTTTAACTCGGTGATTCAAACATTAATCTGATGCTATTTTAATATTTCAAGCCACAAAACATAAAATGTTCTTTTTGTCTGTCTAAGAAATCATGACTTCTTTTGATTTCTTCACGAATTGAATCGCATCAGTTATATCATTTATTGCATTGAGAGTAGGTCTTACTTCAAAGAAATACAACCGAGTCCATGCTGTTTGATTTTTGGGAAAAGACATGAGCACAGCATCGCTTGAGAGTGGACTCTTATCTGATTTGATAAGAAATTAGATTTACGTAAAACTCAACGGGTCCGTATGAATGTAGTTTTACGAGAAATAAATGGCTGTAGTCTATTTTACGACGATGAAGAAACTTGTATAAATACATATTATCTATTCACATTGGGTAACATGTAGTACTTTTTTCTTTCTAACCTATATTTTGTTATTAACTCATTTCAGTGAGAGACTTCTGCTTGTACACATAGGTGACTGTTCTCTTATGTACTATCTAAAGCGTAAAGAGATATGTCTAGTCAAAATCATTTGTTTTTTGTTCCACATACCTTTCGTGGTGTTTGCATGACTGCAAACACCAGTTCCAGTTTCACTAATGAATAGAACATCAACATAATTACTCAGAGCTAGCCTTGAAAAGTTGAACAGGTGTTTCTTTACTTATACAATATTCTGCTATTCATGCTGTGCCTTTTCCAGATCCACGGACGTTTCGAGTATCATTAGCTTCAAACAATCTAATCAATGGCAAGACAATCGGTGAAAGGAACTGATCGACCACGAGCTCAGTGGTATTGGAACTCGAGTTACGATCCATGGTTAAGAAGTGGAAAAGAAGAATGGACAAAATATTCTGATATCGAATCCGAGATTATCGAAGAAGCATTTAATGGCAAAAGTAAAACAGAACTAGCTGAACTAGATAATTATTGGCTCAATCTCAAGGATTCCGTTCAAATCAGTAAATTAGATCAGAATAAACAACGGCCAATAAAAAGAGTGCTAATTAAGAGAAATGAAAATGAAGGTTTAAGAGAACAAAGATTCTTTCTTCCACAACCACTGAAACCATTCAGTCACGGTCGCGCCATCGCTGCTTATACTTTTCTTTCACAGTGGAAGAGAGGTAAGCAATTTTCTGATGCTGAGATAGTAGAGCAAGCAGCGCTTGGAATAATTCTCGAAGGAAAGCAACTCGACCAACACCGTGAATCACAATGGATAGCTGCAAAATTAACAGCCGTGAAAAACCAAAAAAGAGAAGAAATTTATAACTGCTGCATTATGCTATACACAATGGAATGCTTCCTATACAAGCTAATAAACAAAGCGTTGAGAGAAAACCATCCAAGCAAAGTAAACACTCTGGGCCCATTCTGCTACATTTTATTTAGAAGCTGGTACGCAGATACGAACGACTATCACAAGGAACTCTATCGCGGTGTGAACATCGATAAGAACATGGTTAAATCATACGACGAAGCGACGGGCGAGATGAGATATTGGGAAAGTTTCACCTCAACGAGCAAAAGCCGTAAAAAGGCCGAAAGCTTCGGCAATACCCTCTTCACTATAGATACAACCGACAACAGTGGCATTGACATAACACTAACTTCTAAGTACCCCGACGAAGAAGAAGTCTTACTTCCACCCGCAACAAGATTTCAAATAATCAACGTAAAATCTGATCCAGAAACAGGAAAAACCTATATTGATTTAAAACTCCAATCTGGTCTTGGTTATCTTCAGCACCCTTCAGCAGCTGCATGATTATTGATTCAGTTACTGTGTAACTCATCATCGCCAAATGAGCAGTGATGCGACGACAGTGAAATGTCATCTGGTGTAATGGCACATCTACAAGGTAAGTGAATAGTCACCTTATTATAGACATCCTTCAGCAGCTGCATGATCATTGATTCAGTTGCTGTGTAACTCATCATCGCCAAATGAGCATTCATGTGACGGCAGTGAAATGTCATCTGGTGTAATGGCACATCTACAAGGTAAGTGAATATTCAGTTGCTGCGCATCCTTCAGC